CAAGGTTAGTAATAACAAATCTTGGAACAAATGTCATTGAAGCTGTTATCATTACAGGATCTCACACCGGACAAAAAACATATATACCAAGAATAAATCTAACTGCGCGTGCCTCTCATTGGCCATTCACATTATCTCGACGCCAATTTCCAATAAAAGTTTGTTATGCTATGACTATAAATAAAAGCCAAGGACAAACTTTATCAAATGTAGGGGTGTATTTAAAGAAACCAGTATTTACACATGGGCAATTATATGTGGCAGTTTCAAGAGTACAAGATAGAAAAGGTCTGAAAATATTAATTGAAAACCCAGATGGATCATGTGGAGAAACAACTAAAAATATTGTTTATAGAGAAGTTCTTCAAATGATTTGATCATAATTTGTAAACCAGTACTGTTATAGACTGCAGGATGGAGAAAGATATCACTCCAATATCAGAACTACGTCCAGGAAGCTTAGAGTACAAAATATGTGTTCGTGTATCCCGGATGTGGGAATTTAGAGGGAAGAGTGAACTGAATGATATCAAACATGTGGACCTTGTACTGCTTGATCAGAAGGTAATATAACAAAGTCTAATTTAAAGATTCTACATTTCAGATACGATCCATTGCTGCTTCCTGCTTTGTTAACAGTTTAACACACCAGATTCTTGATATTTTATTTCATGAGGAAGTTAAGACGTCGCGATACATGTTTATATTTTTGACCTGTCTACAGGGTGATTCGATATATGCTGAAATCCCACCAGATGCAATACCATCTACCACACCATATTTAGAAGAAGGAAATATCGTGTACATCACAAAGATAAGAGTTGTTCGTGGGAAGATAGATTTTAAGGCTGTACCAAATCCTTATATGCTCAAACTTAACATGAGGACTACAATCGTTCAGCTGAATAATGATATTCCAGGATTCCCTAAATACACATTTTCCCTCACTCCACTGGATAAGCTTGGGGATTACGTAAACAAAACTGAATATTTCCTTGGTAAGATCATAAAAATTCTGCACAAATCATATATTTTCCTCTCTAATCACATCAACTAAAACATTTTTCTACTACTCTTATAGATGTCATTGGAAAAATTGTGGCGGTTTCAAATGCTGCTACTGCTTTCTACCTCAGGAGAGCAAATCACAAGGAGGATCGTAAAACTACAGGACTTGAGGTACGATACATAAACTTCAAATTAATTCAACATAAAAACAATTGTACTTTTCAATGCTAGACTAAAAAACTGTCTGTGTTTCTATAAATATCCATTACCAATGGTAAATATGTATATTTGATTGAGTACTCCAGCTTAATCCTGCTTACCAATCCTTATCATGTATTTGTTTCAAGGGGAAATGCAATTGATTTATCCTTATCTGGAAAAAGAGCCTTATAATTTGATGGTGCGACAGTTCTAGATGTTGGACAGAAACATCATGTTATAGCTATATATTTGTAGGAACACTCATGAAGACATATGGACAAAAATATACATTCTTGAGTGGAACAGCGGCATGTAGGTGGTACATCAATGAAAATGATATTCCAGAGATCAAAAGCTTTCAGAAGAGGTAATACCAAAATAAAATCCAGACAGAACCCTATTTTTAAATTCATTTTCCTAACTTAAAGTTACTAACCTTACTCCCTTTTTGAAGTTTAATAGGCAACCCTGTTTCTATCCAACGCTGTACTGCAGAATGAAGATGATGCAATGCAAAATCTCGAGGAAAAGTCTCTAATACAGCTCAAAGAAATAGATCCATTTGTTCAAAAGGTTCCGTACATTGCAAGAGTTACAAAATAGTTTACACTCTATAACATACAAATAGACTAAATACATCTTAAATTGAAATACAGGGACAAAAGTATCAGTGCCTTGTAACAATTATTGGCATAAAAGATGATCAACCATGGTGTTATCGCTACCTGCACTGTCTGCAACTCTAGGATCTACATAAATCCAAGGACCAATAAATACCAATGCTCAAAGGACGGATGTCCGTGCTCACAGTTCCAGTGGAAGTAAGCTCCATACGATCTTTATAAATGCTATTGAAACTAATGATAAAAAATAATTGTTAATTACTATTATTCCTTCCTTTTGACATATTCTACAGAAATAACAACATAAAATATTGTTTTCTATTGGGTTCCAGCAAGTAATAATATCACATTAACATAGAGATTTTCGTACTCAATTTTTACACTGCTTCCACCAATATTGTTATAGGTATAAAATAGCATTCATTGGAACAGATGAGACATATAGCCTTGAATTTGTGCTTTTTGAAAAGAAAGGATCAGAGCTCATTGGAAAATCTGCAGAAGTACTTAGAAAGCAATATGAACAACGCTTGATTCCATCGATATATCAGCTTTGATTGGCTTCAAGCTCACATTCGTGGTCAGAATTTTAGCGAACAAAAGTGTTGACAATGTTGATCCTTCTTTTGAAGTAATCATGATCAAGAAAAACCATGGCAAACAATCGATTGTAACACCTATAAGAGGTCCTGCAATGGCATTGGCACAATCAAGTTCATCCTCTATTGCAGCAGATACAGATCTACCGCCTTTAATAACCATAGCATCCAAGAAATTGAAAACCGAGGTATACATACCACATAATCTGATTCCCTTATATAATATTTCTTTTACCTTAACCAAACATTTAGCTCACTTATTTACATTTTTAGGCAACTTCATCTCAAACACAGGTTTCCAGTGGGATACAAGACATGGATATCGAACCACCTGGGTATGTCAAAGAGTAGTTTATTTCCAAAACTAGCATTTAATAAAGCTCTTGTATGAAACTTTCAGGATTTGGCAACAAGATGATAACTCAGACAAGAAGAACTTCGAAGAAATCGATGAAAATAACCAGGTATAGAACATATTTCTGATTCTAAAAAATAGCATCTTACCAGGTATAGAACATATTTCTGATTCTCAAAAATACCATCTTACGGACTTCAACATATTTTTTTTATACTCAACAGAAAGCAGCGGAGATCTACTCAGATATATATCACCATAAAAAATCAAAGAAGAAGAAGGAGTGAAGCAAAGGGAATTACTCAGGTAAATATAATATCTATTTTATTGAAAAAAGAATGTTATTTTCGCTTGTATTTCAAATTGCCACCTTGCTGTTTAAGCTAAAACTCAGAATCTTCCTATCTTTAGTAGTTCACCTGCTATATATTCAAATGATTTCTTTTTATGGATTTTACTCAAAAAATTTAGCACCAGATAATATTATTGTTTCTTCTCTTCTGATTTCAGGAACCTTTTATGAAGAGATTCTCCTCGCAAACTGAAGATGAAGCTTTTGAGTTACAGCTCAATTAGATGCAAGCAAACAATCCTTGCTGTTTTGCTTTAAAAGACATAGTCTATAATCTCTATATAAGAATCCTGCTTCGAAAAGCGGCCTAACAGATAAGAGCCACGTCGCCCGTTAACGCTCTAGCCGTCTGATCTGGTGAAGAAGCAATACTGTCCGTCCGATTGCGGTCCATCCGGTAACTCGCGAAGATTCTCGGCCCGTCGTGCTCAATATTTTGATGTAAATTATTATGCACCTACCACAAACAAATAGAGCTCTCGAAGCACTTTGGCTACCTTCCCACTTATATCTAATACTATTTTTATGTAAATTATTATGTCGAAGCACTTTGGCTACCTTACTATACTGTAAGAACGTGTTATTTATATAAGACAAAAAAGGAACCATGGCAAAAAAAAAAACCCTACGTAATATTACCATCTATAGGATTGATGCTTAACCAGAGCAGTATATAATGCGCTGTTCAAAGTGTCATCAACATCGCTAACTCCAATAATCATAGATCAACTTTCCTACCATTTTCTACACTCACAACCATTGGATTAGTTTTAACCAATTTCTACTTAATCCCATCAATCACCACGGCGTTCATAAAGCTGTGGGTGCTCCTACTGTCTAACAGTGGAAAGATAGCTTTATTAGCTACTACTTCCCCTTTCAATTTCTTTGTACAAAGATTAGGATTAGATGAGATTGCAATAATCCTGCCACAGAACTTGAAGACTGGTACATAACAATTAGGCCGTCGCCTTGGATCTGCATGACTGCGGATCCGCACCCTCACGACTCACGACCCTCTTGTGGTCAGGGTCCCCCACACCAGTAGGCAGCGCACAGGATAGCGCCACCGTGAGGAGCTCAGCCGAGCTCGCGCCGGTCCCCGCGCTAGCGCTGCTCCGTGCAAGCTCCCCTCTCCCAGTTGCCAAGAATCGATATCGGAGAAAGCAGAGACAGAGAGAAGTGCCTTGGTGGAGAGAGACGAAGGCAAACCGATGTTGGCAGGACGGAGATAGAAATGGTAAATAAAAACAATGGGCTGAGACTAGACAATCCAATGCGGAGAAGCTAGTGAAGCTATCTCTGTACTCCGTATACGCATACACGGATACACCTGCAGTAGGCTACACGTAGGCTACACGTTAAAGAGATTAAAAAATAATTAGGAGCCCCTCACGCCGTGGTGCATGGACCCATATACACAATTAAAGGCTCACTAACCCTATTTTTTAAAACATATAAGTTCACTGGCCCTGCTAAAACGTGCAGCGCGGCAAAGCCGTGCGTACTTTCTAGTATTATGTATTCGTGGTACTCACTCTTATAGTCTCGTGGACTTTTATATGTATATTTATTTTGCACTATTATTTTTTATGAAATTATGTCAAAATTAGCTTTTGAAACTGGTATTACATATCTATATGTGATCAGTTCGGTACAAAATTATCGAAACCGAATTTCGTGAGTACCGATTTTTTTTAAGGAACCGATCCATCCCTATTTTCGACCGACCGAATTTCTGTAGAACCGAAGATCGGTTCGGTATTACCGAATGCGCAAATTGGGTCTTTCGTACTCCCGAATCCCAGGCTCCCAGCAGCCTCATCTGTGCGACTGAGTAGTGAGTACTGACTCACACGGCCATGACACGGCGCCGCCGGGGCAAGCGCGGGCGCACGAGCCCAGGCCCGCCGCCGAAGCGCCGCCGCGGAGGCGCGCCGGAGATAGAGTCAGACGACTACCCTGAGCCCGTTCCGACTCCGGCGCCTGCTGCTCCCCAGCCATCTTCGGTGATGGTCGCCGGGCTGCCGCCCGGCTGCGGCGTGCTGGAGCTCAAGTCACGGCTGGAGGCGTACGGCCCCATCGCGCGGGCCCGCGTCGACGCCTCAACGGCCACCGGGTACGTCACCTTCCGGTTCGGTGCGGCCGCCGTGGCCGCCATTGCCGCGTCCCTCGACCCCGGTGGCGGAATCGCCATCGGATCCAAGAAGGTAATGAAGGCAATAGATGACTTTATTTTGTCCCTAATAAATAAGCTAGGTTTCCTGAATTATGATGCAACGTTGTTCGATTAAATGGTAGTAGCGCAATTATTTTTCCTCGATTGTACACACGACAGCAGACCTGAATTGGGGTCGAAACACCACATTGAAGAAGAAAAGATTATTGTTAAGTTCATTGTCCCAATTCATGTCAAGCACATCGGTAGTGTCATGTAGGAGTAGAAATTTGTTAAGTAATATAACTTCAAAAGCTTCAGAAATATAATTATGCTTGGTGGGCTGAAGTATTTGCGTTATGGTTGCTCACAAGTCACATTTCCCATCTCAATATCTATGACTAGTCGGTGTTCAATCTCAAATTCTCCAAACTATACACACGTTTACCTTGGGGTAACATTGTTTTTCCTTTCATGCGATACAGGTTATAGTTGTACAGGCCAGTGAGGCACCCCATAACTCAATAAGGGCTGCTGAATCCGCAGGGCGATCGTCGCACGATGCAACTGTGAAGAACGTGACTGATAATTCAGCCATGCTGAGCTCCAAAGCAGCTTCTGGAGCGACTTACAAGGCGCGAGAAATAGTCGCCTATGATGATCTGTTCTAGATTTCTATTAGGAACTTGAGATCTTGAGAGCTGCGTTGTCGCCTATGATGATCTGTTCTAGATTTCTGTTAGTAAAGTAGTTTTCCGAGGGACAAACCAGTGTTGTCGTCTTTGTACAACCTATTAGGAACATGAGAGCTGCGCACGTGAGCCTCTGTAATCTTAATTAATCTAGGCCATTGGCTCGTTAGCCTCTGTAATCTTAATTAATCTAGGCCATTGGCTCGTTTACTCCTAGTGAACAACTCTTTCCTCTCTTCAATGTTATCATTCATGAAGAGCTTTCGTGGAAACATGGAGTTTCCATGTGCCTTTGTGGTTCATGTTACAATGCAGAATTAAGATGCAACAAAAAGTGCCACCAAATTCTGAAGTTTTAGGCCCTATTTGGGAGGGTCAGCTCTAGCTCCTGCTAGAGTTAGCTAGAGTGGACGGAGTGAACCGGTGAAGAATAAAACTGGATAACCATAGTCGTGTAGGCATTCTGTCATTCAACATTTTAAAAGCTTAGAAAAACAAAAAAAAAGAGGTTAGATGAAATTAAAATGATTCAAAGCATGGTGACTGTTTCCATTTATGCTCCTTTGAATTACCATTGTTATATATATTTTTTCTCGAACATAGGAGAACTGCACATCATTTTATTAAAAAAGAATGTACATGAGTGTAAGGGGAGATGAGCCCCCAAACAAACACACCCACACATGGCCTTGGATTCAACGTTCCTGTAAACTAGAAGAACCCCCGGGCGTCTGCGGGAACTGCTAATTTGGAATGAAATTTAACTATTTATATAATTCTTAAAAAGAGATTAACTATTGTAAACTAATGTTAATGGATAGCGTGTCATATTGATGTGGACAATTAAATGTATGTTAGTGGATAATGTGTCTCGCTGACATGAATATCATAATTGTTTGTGCTAGTGAACTTTAATTTCAAATGATAGTGGACTACTGAGGTGGACACCTTGCATGTCATGAGAATTGCTAGTGGGGTTTTGCTTTATAAGAGTTAGATCCTGAAAAAGCCACCGGCAGCACCCTGAACACATGGGCCTATTATTTATACAATATTGTAAATACTGAAAAAGCTATCTGCTCGTGATTCTTCCTGTGCGATGGTGTCTGCAAACCTAGCCATCGATGTGGAGAGTGCTCAGTAAAACTCCCGTTCGTTGGTAAACCATTTGAAGGACTTTGTCGTCTGTTGGTAAACCATTTGAGTGTCTCTCATTAAGCCATTCGACGACTCAGCCAAACTGAAGCTCAGCTGCGCAGTTGCATGCTATTCCTGAAGCTTTTTTGTCTTCCTTTTCAAAATACCACTCAGCATGTTTGACTTATGCTGCTGCAAATTTTGAAAGAAGTTAAAAAGAAAAAAATGGAGAATCAATGTAGTATAAATCGTCAAATGGTGAGATAGAAAAAAAAACAATACAAATTTTTGGTCAAAACAAGACAATCGAATTGTGTCAGCTGTTTGAAGAGGAAAACAGCCTTGCAGTAGTATCTGTTTGATAGATTGTTCATGGGTGGTGTTAACTGTTAATAAGATTGGTTGATTGGCTGATTGACAGAAGTAAATAATATTGCACTAATAATTTCTACCTGATTGATTGTTCACAGAAGTAGAAGAAAGCTTATTACTAATAGCTGGATGTCCCAAGCTAAATTGGAGGTTCTGCAACACAGAATCAGACTGTTCCAAATGGTAGTAGATGGAAAATCACGGCTGTTATAATCTTCCTACTCCTTGGTGGCTTATATGAGGCTAAAGAACAACATGCCATGGTATGAAGGTACTGATGATAGCACAAGAACCAGAACTAGCCAGGTTTCTCTCTAGAAACTGACTGGTTTACTCCTGAATTTTCAAGACTGAAATATTCCTTTTTCCAAATTTGATGTTTGGTGTTTAAACTAGAAGAAAACACAAGTATATATAAGATACTTTGAGAGTGTGAGGTTTAGTGGGTGAACCTACGGGGCTAATACTGGTCCTGAAAGAAATGCCTAAGGGCCCGTTTGGTTAGGCAAAATTTGGCCCAGGATTCATTCCAGCTGCTCATACGCTATGTAAATTAAACAGGTAATCCGGCCAGGAACCGTTCCAGGGAGCGGTTCCCTGGTAACCGAACGGACCCAAGCTGGTTCTAGTTTCCAGACCTATAACAACCCTACTACTAATACCCTAACTCACACCCAGTTTCCACATCAATACAAAGCAACCAGAACAAAGGCCAAAGGAAAATACAAAAAAGCTTTTGTCCACTGATGGTAGTGTTCAGTGTAATAGGTCTAGAGATTACCAGTTTTCCTGCTTGTAATTCGATATTCTTGCAGAACCGGACGGGCAAAGGTTGAGAAGGAGCAGCTGGAGGAAAATCTTCAGCTGGCATTGCAAATGGGCGAGCCATTTTATCAAATTTGTCTAAGGTGATATATGATCCAACTTCCTGCAATCTCTCAGGCTCCATAATCGGCATTGTGTGATCATCAGGCAGCAAAGATTCTTTGCCTCCACTCTACATCGATACATAAGAATAGTGTGATCATGATGTATGCAAAAAATATATTCATGTAAGTCATTAGAAATATTGAAACGAACACCTTCCAAGCATTTGAAACGAATAAATATTACCTCCAAGGAACTTATATCTGCACCACGACTAAATGTCATCTCTATACGAAATCTCTTTGGGTGTTCCAAAGGTACCTGAGATGGATGTTCCATTGACAAAAGAATCACATTATTTAATGTTAGATGTGCCTGCCATGTTTTCTAGAAGTTTAAAGTTTTTAAACTATTAGTCAGGAATACTATGGTAGGAGAAGACTTAAAATTATCAGATGGGATAAAAAATAGTATTCATTTCACAGTTACTATGGAAATTCTAGAAGCATTACAAGCAGCTAAGTAGTAGGTGTTATATTCTTGTCCATTAGTATGTTGGTTATTGGTGCAACTTGATTGTTAGGCATGCAGAGACGTCACTGAACTGAAGAGTAGGTATACGTAGACTGTTTATGTGATTTAATCAGTATCAGTTTCTGAGGGTATCTTAGGGTGAAAGGGTCACATTCACAGAGATATGCCAATCGTTTTTAGTGGGTGTAGTTTAAAAAGGATCTTTGACTATCAAATCTTTATATACTATTTTATTAGAAGTCATAAAATCAAAATAATTAGAAGGTGCTTTTAAATACAAAGCCAATTGTAGTAATTTTGTGGCATATTATTCACATATTATTAGACTAATTGTTGGTTAAAGCATGGTTTTAGACAGCCAAAATGCAGCCACTAAAAACAAATGGAAGGAGTACTCATATAAATATAAAAAAGGGTAACCCTACAAATATGAAACTGGCAATGACTAGGAAAACCAATACCTCTGTATTTTCAAACATACGCAACACAATGTAACTCATGTAGTCGAGTTCACGTGTTTTAAATAGCAGATCTAGAGAACTTCTGCAAACAAGACTCTCTTCTCCATTCAGAGATTCGTCTAAATTGCAATAGCGAAGTATGTTCATTAGAGAGTGTATGTGTGATTCCTGCCAAGAACAAAATCCTGAGTTCCACTTATGAGGGGGATAAAACATTATATGAAGGAATAATGACAGCAAAGACAAGACACCTTTTTTTCAGCAAATAAAACATTATATGTTCATTAGAGAGTGATAAATCCTGAGTTCCACTTATGAGGGGGATAAAACATTATATGTTCATTAGAGAGTGTATGTGTGATTCCTGCTAACAAATGCCACCAAATAAAGTATCTCTACCATATAATGTTTTAGAAAGACACTTTTTTTTCAGCAATTCATCGGGGAAATTGTATATTTAAGTAGCACTACAATATGAACGAGTCATGAAAATTGTTCACAAGAAATACATGTGTAATATTTGATTAGCACTAAAATATTTTTTTGAGGAAAACTGGAGGGGCTTGCACCCCTACAGCACTTTTATTGAAAGTAAAAGGTACATATTACAAAAAACAAGCCTACGAAAAGGAAAAGGAATAGGAATTACATATTAGCACTAAAATATTAAGAACAACAACAATAACAACAACAAAGCCTTTTAGTCCCAAGCAAATTGAGGTAGGCTAGAGTTGAAACCCAACATGAGCCCCTAGTCACGGTTCAGGCACGTCAATAGCTGCTTTCCAAGCACTTCTATCCAAACAAAGATCTCTAGGTATATCCCAACCCTTCAAATCTCTTTTTATTGCCTCCCCCCATGTCAGCTTTGGTCTTCCTCTACCTCTCCTCACATTGATATCTCGACTTAGGCCTCCACAATGCACTGGTGCCTCTGAAAGTCTCCTTTCTCCTTTGGACATGGCCAAACCACCTCAACCGATGTTGAACAAGCTTTTCTTCAATTGGTGCTACCTCTAGACGATCACGTATATCATCGTTCCGAACTCGGTCATCCTTGTGTGACCACAAATCTAGCGCAACATACGCATTTCCGCGACACTCGGTTGTTGGACATGTCGTCTTTTTGTAGGCCAACATTCTGCTCCATACAACATAGCGGGTCTAATTGCCGTTCAATAAAACTTGCCTTTAAGCTTTTTTTGGTACCGCTTGTCACAAAGAATGCCAGATGCTTGGCACCACTTCATCCACCTTGCTTTGATCCTATGGCAAACGTCTACATCAATATCTCCATCCTTCTGTAGCATCGATCCTAGATAGCGGAAGGTATCTTTCTTAGGCACCACATGACCTTCCAAACTCACCTCTCCTTCCTCATGTGTAGCGTTGCCAAAGTCGCATCTCATGTATTCTATTTTAGTTCGACTTACTCTAAAACCTTTGGACTCAGGGGTCTGCCGCCACAACTTCAGTTTCCTATTTACTCTTGCCTGGCTTTCATCAACTAGCACTACATCGTCTACAAAAAAACATACACCAAGGAATATCCTCTTGAATGTCCCTTGTCACTTCATCCATTACCAAGGCAAAGAGATACGGGCTCAAGCCTGATCCTTGATGAGGTCCTATTTTAATCGGGAAGTAATCTGTGTTACTATCATTTGTTCAGACACTAGTCACGGCATTGTTGTACATGTCCTTGATGAGGGTAACATACTTTGTTGGGACTTTATGTTTGTCCAATGCCCACCACATAACATTCATTGGTATCTTGTCATAAGCCTTCTCCAAGTCAATGAAAACCATGTGTAGGTCCTTCTTCTGCTCCCTGAGCCGCTCCATAACTTGTCTTATTAAGACAATTGCTTCTATGGTTGACCTTCGAGGCATGAAACGGAATTGGTTCGTAGATACCCGCGTCGTTCCTCGCAGTCGATGCTCAATAACTCTCTCCCACAGCTTCATCGTGTGGCTCATCAACTTAATTCCCCTATAATTAGTGCGACTTTGGATGTCTCCCTTGTTCTTGTAGATTGGTACCAATATGCTTCTTCTCCACTCCTTAGGCATCTTGTTCGATCGATAAATATTGTTGAACATCTTCGTTAGCCATACTATAGCTAAATCCCCGAGACATCTCCACACCTTGATCGGAATACCATCAGGGCCCATCGCTTTACCCACTTTCATCCTTTTCAAAGCTTCTCTAACCTCCTACTGTTGGATCCTACGCACAAAGCGTCTATTGGTGTCATCAAACGAGTTGTCCAACCAAATGGTGGACTTCTCATTCTCCCCATTGAACAGCTTATCAAAATACTCTGGCCATCTATGTCTGATCTCATCCTCCTTCACCAAGAGCTGCTCCCTCTCGTCCTTAATGCACTTGACTTGGTTGAAGTCCCTCGTCTTTCTATCATGAGCCCTAGCCATCCTATAGATTCCTTCTCTCCTTCCTTCGTATTCAGACGTTGGTAAAGACCCTCGTAAGACCGCCCCTTCGCCTCTCCCACCGCTCTTTTTGCAGTCTTTTTTGCCACCTTGTACTTCTCTATGTTGTTTGCACACCAGTCCTGGTACAAGCGCTTATAGAATTCCCTCTTTTCCTTAATAGCCTTTTGCACATCTTCATTCCACCACCAAGCGTCTTTCAAGTTGAATTGCTTCAAAAAAAAACCCGAACACACAGGAGAGCTGCGTATCGATATATTAAGAAGAAAAGGGTTTAAGAAACCCAAGGTACAGCCAGCTTTTTTAAGGGAGAACCTAACAGGAAAAAAAACAGAAAGAAAAAAACACCTAAAACCAAGAGGGATAGGACCTGACCTAGGAAAAAACTCCTAACAGAAACTTAAACCTGCAAAGGGGGCAGGGTGAGGAGATGATAGACTCCTCTAGTTCCAACTGTTGTGAAGTATTAGTGGATTGCCCACCTCTTCCCAATCGCGTAAACTTTTGGGTTCACTTGGTTGGTGCATGAAACCTAACATGGTATCAAAGTCAGAGGCCTCGGGTTCGAGTCCTGGTAGAGGCATCTTTTAAGTCCTCCGCTCCCTTGTTCTGGTTGCACGTGAGTGGGAGTGTTGTGAAGTATTAGTGGATTGCCCACCTCTTCCCAATCGCTTAAGCTTTTGGGTTCACTTGGTTGGTGCATGAAACCTAACACCAGCCACACTCCATAGGTGCATCTCCTCTATCTATAGGGGCAGGGCACTTCAAAATGTTCAAACTGAAAGGGTCAGGACAGTATACATGTTTTTTCTCTTCAACCATCAAGAAACCCATGAACATGAGCTTCTGTAGACATACCTAAGTAAACCGATTTAGCTAGAAGTTCTAGCAATGAGAAAAAGAATACAATTTCCTTTTAAGAATCATTATACGATATGGTTCAGAGTTTGCAAGTCAGTTATCATACCGATGTAAAATAGAGCCTTGTTCGAACACGTCGCTCAGGATCAACCACATTGGCATATCTGCAACAAAATTACTTGATATGTTTTCCAACTAAAAAAATTGAATCTCTTAGTAACTTACTTTGGATCCAAGCAGTATTTTGTTTCCTCGTGGGAGTCATCTAGATCAATGGCCTTCTTGTTAGAGCTAGATCTTTCAACACATTCATTCCTAACCTCCTCATAGTAACTCCTCTCCTTAAGTTTTGCAGATGACACTGTCGTTGTATCGTTATGTGTGTAAGATTCAGCAGCAGCAGCAGTAACCTCTCGTCTTGTGTTATGCAGGTCAATTAGAATCTTCCCCAATAAACGGTGTGCTATCTATAGATAATGACAGAAGAAACAGCGATATGATTATGTCCAGAAAACAGAAACCATTGTCTTTCTTGCTACAAATACTGCAAAATATGAATAAAGAACATGCATAATGCAAGAGCAGTGTCCCTAGCTGCTGAATTGTAGTCCATGCGAGTACCTTTGAGCCAATTTTGAGTTTCTGCTTTGGATTTATTCCATATTCATTTGGAATGACACCATCAGCTAGCAACTGAACGAAAGAGTAACAACAAAACAGTTAGATACATTGGGCACAAATGGACTAAGATCATTAGAGTGAGCAAGCTTCAATTCACAATCCAGGATTCAATTTATGCATGTTACACTGAATAGCCATGATAAGTTAGGTACATGTTTCTAGTAGTGGAAATCTACTGAGTTCATGTAGTGCTAAATGTACTACATAACATGAAAATTTACCGCACCCAATCTATTAGTTGTATGCCTATAATATGGAAGAACATATATCCTCGTCAGAACATCAACGATTTATTGAACAGATATAAATCGGTCAAGATTTAACTTTTTTTAATCTGTGGTACATTTAAAAAGCATAAAAACCTGATTCACCTGAGAAACTTTGAAGAGATCACTCAGACCAGTAAGGTTGAGATGCGAGTTATGAAGAAGGTCATACCTATCATACAAGAACTATCATTAGGAAGATAACACATCATTATAAAGATGAGTATGATATAAATAAACGAGAACTGCAAAATTGAAAGACTTCAGTTGACATGAATTCAGATGATGATACAAATGATTAACTAAGTTGACAAATGCCAAATATAAGAAGTTATGATTTTCCTTTATACTTCAACGTGATCTTTATCAGGAAACAAAACAGTGGTTCCTTGCAATATTTGCTTCAATGACAACCGAAATTTATATCACAGGTATTTTTGGAAACGGCACAGAAATAATATCTCAAAAGTTCATTATCAAAACACATTAAATGGACGGGGATCTGAATATATAACTACAAAGATCTACATAGTGTGGTATGAAAGACTCTTTTCGTGGCAGGTCTGTATTCGTTTTTAGGTGTGGGTGTGTGACTTGGGAGTTTTGGGGTGTTTCTGGTTCCATGCCCTCTCCCTTGTTCTTTCTTCTATTTTAATGAAATGACACGCAGCTCCCATGCGTTGCTCGAAAAAAGGCGACTCTTTTACAAAGAGAAACCCATATACATTATCTGATGGTAAGATTACCTACTTGCAAGAGTCATATATGTCAGGAATTTGTGTAGTGTCAAAGCGCCTGCATCATAGCGAAATTTTTTACAGTGGTTACACCAGGTGGACTTCCTTCAGAGAACATCAAGTGTTCAACAAGGATGCCAAAAGGATAGAAGACATACTTTTTCCTTTCATTGTAGAGACCCCTCTCTAGTTTCTTCCAACGGGCAAACATCAAAAGAAAGCTTTCACTACCACAAGGCAATCCAGCAGAAATACGATCCGTATCAATTTCTGCATTCCCCAGTGCTGTTGCTATATCATAAGGAGGATTTGGTGAATCACCACCTATGGCAGCTTTCTCATCTTCATCATCAGAAAGCATCTTTACTTGCGCGGTTATTTCTTTTGTCAACTCAGCCTGATAAGACAGTACAAACCTATTATCATTACAGTTGTTTTGACACTGAAAGTTACTGCAAAAGCAACCCACAGAGGTTGCAGGGTAGCAATAGTTCTTAATATAGTAAGGAACTCATAATGTTAAAGTATAGAATAATAGTTCAAGAGGAATTAGGAAAATCTATGAAGAACTCAATGAGAAAAAAATGTCCATACCAAATCTGTGAGAAGCTGAGAAGCATTTTTAGGCACTCTAGCTCCATCAACCATCCATGGGAATTCCATAGGTTCATTACAATTTGCAACTTCAGAAGATATGATGATATCATGCAATTGAGCCTGCAAAAATCAGGTATCTTTAGAGACATAGGAGAAAAAAATTGTACATGATCCATATCTCAAAAAGATGATTGCATATGAATTGAACATGTACAAAACCATACACATTCTAGATTATTTTTCAAATTTGAATACAGATACATAATACATGGCTCCATTTTTCTTGTCTTCAACTCTTCAATTCCTGTTGGACCACACTTCTTTTGATTTCAAATATTAACTGAGTGCATCATACTTATAAATGTTTTACCCCAAATTCACAGTTGACAACATTTGAGTGGCAACTTTGACTCCCTTGGAAAACTAATCTAAAGTTTGAAAACTGAAAGCAACAATTTCTTAAGTATTTGCAATGGCGTATGAAGAATACCTTTGCTTCATTTATGTCAATAGTACCATCCTGAAGTCCATCTAGCATAGACGAGTCCTTACTAACAAGTGAAACCTGGAGATAGTAAAAGCAGGAGAATTATGGTCCTGCTTTGCTCTGACTGATATAGATTTACAGAAGAGGAACGGACCAGGATTGGTGTCAACTCCCCCTCCAAATCAAGAAGACCTTTAGCAAAAGCCGCAGCAGACATCTAAGGTATAACAACTACCATTATGTAGTCAATCAATAAAGAACTGAGACTCTGAGAGTACAAAAAGAATAATGGAAGACAGTAAAGACCGGGAAACCAGTTCTTTCTGCGATGGCTAATGTCCAATCAGACACAAGACTGATAGTTCTTTTTTTTTTGGATGCCATGCTCATTATAATTAGGTTCAGTGAAACGACCAAACTTTTTACGAAGCATTTGGCAGTTTATAACAAGGTAACACTAATATACTAGTTTGACAGTGATAGATATATACATTAGGAAAGTGTATATTAGGCAAGTCTATATTTAGTATGATTAGCACCTGCCATGTATTGCATATATGCTGCCATGTAATTGGCTATATATATCAAGGTCACCCCCCCCACTTTGGGTGTGGTGTTTCCCTTCTATCTCTGCTATTCTACATGGTATCACAGACCAAGATCAATTAGATCCTGGACCTTCTACTTCCGCCTCCTTCCACCCCACCTCTTCCCTGGGCGCCCCTCCTCCTGTGGCGAGATGTTTTCCAACGCCGATGCCTCGGCCGCAGCTGCTGCCGCTGCTGCTGCCGCAGCCGCTGCTGCACCACCACCGCCGCAGGCCGTCGTCGTCCACCCCTACACCGCCGTGAACGTGAAGACTCACATTCCGGTTACCCTGGAGATGAAGAATCCTAACTTCACCAAGTGGGCTTCGTTCTTCAAGGCCTTGTGTGGGAAATTCAGCCTTCGCCCCCACATCGACGGACCAGCCCCTCCGACTGCTGATCCATCGTGGGACATTGCCGAGTGCACTGTCCGCGGCTGGATCCTCTGCTATTCTACAGACAGTCACAACGTCAGGTGATCTAGGGAAAAACATTCAAGGTGATACAACCACGGAATTATACAGTACTATTTATTACAAAGTACAGTTACCAATGAACTACTTGAACCTAATCACTTCTTCACAAATCCAATGCAATAAATAATTATAATATGGCATGTCACATAGGTATAAATGCATTAAAACATACACCTAACTGTACAACTTGCCACTAGGTAATGATGACCATACGATTGGGGATCGTTTTTCAAATCCTGTCATAGTGGCATAAAGTTTGGGGCATAATACATATGTGGACATAAATAAATTTGTCGATTGTCTGCGGTGAAGCTAACTAGTTTGAATTCTTAACTCAGAAGCAGAATTAGCTACTCCATGACAGTTAAGACTCCTAGAAATCTCTGTCAATACGTTGATTGATATATTCTTCAAAAAAAATGTTGATTGATATGGAACATGATGTATCATACAGAAACAGAAGTCGAGCCTAGCTCAGTTTGGGAGGTGTGGATGAATGCCTAGACCACCTAGGTTCTAGTCCTCATCGAGGAGAATTTGGGTGTCTACTATTTTCTTATCAATATTAATATTAATGTAAAGCCACCTAAATCCTCCTAGGTTGGTCTAATTTTTTTTTTACACAAACAGAAATGGAGACTATTTACATACCTGAACGCGACCTTCATCTGAGCTGTATATCTTCAGATCATGCCTATATGTACTGTGGAGGCGAAGCAATCCTGGCCCTTCACCTATAAAAAATTTCACAAACTTAACCAGAGAGAGACAATGTTGCTAGGCATTCAAGAGAAATCGAGATGGACCTGCAATAGATAAATAGCAAAAGACTGGAAATGAATTTCAATTAAGGCTGAGCAGAATGGTATCCAAAATTCCAAATCAACAAAAGAGAAAAAGGAAAGGGATATAATAGGGTACCGAAGTTTTTTTTTTTAAAGCAAGGGCAGGAGCTCTGCCAATCAATTAAGCGGAAAGAAGTTTTATGTACAAGATGGCACTAAGGCCAAAAGGACCACCCAGCCTAAGTGGCACAAAAGTTCCAGAACAGGAAGAACACAAATCAGGCAAAAACACTAGACAATATCGTTAAGGATGTGAAGTTCCAAAGTTCATTTTATATTGCTCTAGATCCTCTTTGGCTCGCCCAGCTACCTGAAGAGCTGTGGAGTAATTGTTGTAGAAAATTCTCCGATTGCGCTCGTTCCAAAGATTCCACATAATATATAGGGCCATTCCATTGAATTACCGTGTCCTCTCTTTGGGGACTGAGGGCAAGGTCGCCTCACACCAGTCAACTAAGGTGTCGGCGTTGGCCTGAAGGGCTGGTTGTAGGTTTCCAAAGTTTTCCCAAGATGCCACCCTGTTCCAGATTTCCTGTGCGAAGGGGCAGGTAATACAAAGGTGATGTCCTGTTTCGAGCGGGCTGTTGCATAGGACGCAGCTATCCTGGTGAGGCCATCCTCTGACTGCAAGGTTGTCAGCTGTTAGAATTTTGTTTTGAATGAGGATATAGGCAAATAGCTTGCACTTGTTCACCGCACGCGTGCGCCAAATGATGTCTGTTTTGAACCTGCGGTAAGTGCCGTAGAACTGTGCACGGTAGGCCGATTTAGTGGTGTATTGCCCATCATTAGTCCTTTTCATTTAATCTGGTCATCCAGATCGGGCTGCAGCTGTACGTACGTCCTGAATGCGGATCCAGAGGGAGACAAATTCTTGTAATTGTGTGGCTGTTGTGATTTTATTCCGCAGCGAACGAATCCAAGTATCTTGATGTCGGGGACCAATACTAGGGTACCCGAAGAGGAGGAGCTAGAACCCCAGGTGCGCAAGCTCCGCCTCGCCCGACATCTGAGGGCTGGTTCCGCCTCGCCCGGCCTCTGGGGGAGGACTCCGTCTCGCCCGACCCCGAGGCCGCGGGCTCCGCCTCGCCCGACCTCTGAGGCTGCGGGCTCTGCCTCACCCGACCTCTGAGGGCTGGCTCCGCTTCGCCCGACCTCTGGGGGCGGGCTCCGTCTCGCCCGACACCGAGGCTGCGGGCTCCGCCTCGCCCGACCCCGAGGCCGCGGGCTCCGCCTCGCCCAACCCTTGGGTTAACGCTCCGCCTCGCCCGGCCTCTGGGGGGCACTCCGCCTCGACCGACCCCGAGGCCGGGGGATCCGTCTCGCCCGACGGAGACCCATACCGCCGCCAATCACTCCAGGTCCAAGCGAATGGGCCCGGGTCAAATCTCTGACACCAGGGAGGTGACCGGCACGCCCCGATATAACCCGTGGCCGTGACGGGCCATACCTGGGGATTCACATCAGGAACAGCGTCGGGCGTACCGCTGCTGTTCTGCCTAACCCTCGTACGGATATAACCCGTGGTCGTGACGGGCCATACCTGGGGATTCACATCAGGAACAACGTCGGGCGTACCGGTGCTGTTCTGCCTAACCCTCGTACGGGCACTGACAGGCGCGTCAGTTCACCACGACGTTCGTCAGGATGAAGTGGAGCACCACGACCGGGAGACGACGCCTGCGCATGGCGCCAGTGACGGACAGGGCTGCGATGTGGAGCTATCTCTGTTGACGTCTACAGGGTCGGCGGGACTCGCGTGAAGGAAAAGAAGGACCCGGCGATCCTGAAGGGCTTCCTCTCCTTCTCATTCTCCTTTTTTCCCTCGACTGTAACCCGTGCTTTTCTTTGGCCTATAAAAGGGAAAGCAGGACGTCCCATGAAAAAGACCGGACTCGAATCGATCGCATCGGAACACATCACACCGATTCGGACTCGAACCCCGAACCGATTAGAACACACAAGCACACAGCAGAGAAGCGACCGAGCCCTCGGCGCCCGTTCGCTCCTCTCACCAGAGACTTGGAACCTGTCCCTCTCTCGACCGTTTGTAACCCCGACTACGAACTTTCAGTGCTAGTAACACGAGCAGCAGCAACGAACTGGACGTAGGGACATTCTGCCCGAACCAGTATAAACCTCGTGTCCTCTTAGCACACCATCCGGGCCAGACGCGCAATATTAGAAATTTACTAGCCGGTGACAACTCGAAACACCGACTTTTTGGTCTAGTTCTTGATGCACCGTTTTGTTCCTCATTCTTACCAATTCGAAGAGACGAGGAGCTAGATTTTTGGGCAAATGTTTTGGTGGCTGATAACCCAAAATCAAGAATCAGCTGCAATTGTAGTAAAGCAGCTGAACTGAATTTACCAGACCTAAATCAAAAGACTTTACAAAATTTTCAGGCAAGATTTACTTTTGTTCAGTTAAGTCTGACCTCAAATTGAGAGCCAAGGGGGTCAGTAAAATAGAAAAGTACCTAAATTGGAAGATATAGTGAAGACTATGCCAAAATGTATGCTAATCTGTTCAGACATGCATTTCAGCTAAACCCAATCATTCAAGCCAAAATAGTCATTTGGAGACAAACGGCAAGATAGACAATTAGAATCTTTAATGTAGAATATTGACCAAAGTTTAGAAGGCCATACTTGGATACATATTATTTCTGAAGTATCTTCCCAATTCTTCCGCCTGTGCAATCAATCAAAAGCATCCGGGAGAGAAACAGAGTATTATAAGAGTTACTCAAAATAAACCAACAGCTCATCAGGATATAAGAAACAGAGCATTAACACCAACTTGGTAACTTGTGAAACTGATAAATTTGGCACCCAGATATGTCCCAGAAATCATATAAAATGACACCTGAGGTTGCAGAATCCATTGCGTGTGCTGAACCATTATTTCAAAAAATAATAACAAAAAAACTCAAAGGTGAAGTAAATTCGACCTGCTTCCTTCCTGCATGAGTTAGAACACCACCATACTTAAGAACCATTAGGGCTTCAACTGGATACTCCTCCTCCCCTTCTCTGTTATCTTTAGGAACGCGGACCCAGTTTGATGGTTTTAGCTGTACCTTCCTATAGATACCAGAAAAATGTCCACCCTGATGTCCATGGTGAAATTTATGTATCAGAGAATTAATAATTTATTATACATTTTAAGAATGTAAAAATGCAAAAAAGAAAAATTGCATCCATTCTTTCATTGGTTGTATTGCATCCAAGTATAGTCCCAACATGTTTGCTGTAACGGATCCTGGACCCGAGTGCGCGCTTCAGCCGCCGCACTGTAACCAGACTCTATTTTGTATCTATACAAAGATACACAGCCCTCCTATGTATTCTCAAACAAGAAGCAACTATTTTACCTCTTCAAGGACAGCTCTAACTTGGCGTAGCTTCTCCGCGTGCTCAACTTCAACGTCGCTATCACTTTCACGACCAGATCTAAAGTTTATAGATAAAATCAAAACAATAATATGTAAGATATGGAAGATATACTCCTAAAGTACCTGATTCCACGGAATAATGCAGCACAACAGAATAATCCAATTCGCAAACCAAGTTGTACATCACAAATGAAATGTCACACAGGATCCTAAAATTACCTAGCTACACTTGCCACAGACCAAATAATTTATGAGAGCAAATGGCATAATGGCTTGGGTGGAAAACAGTGAAGGTAGGAATCAACTAAGAGCATATACATAGTCTTGATAAGATGATTGCCTAAAGGTTCATAAACAATAAGAGATGAGAAATTGACACTATAGAAACATACCTAGCACGCGGAACCAGGATTCTTGTTGCATCTAATAGATCTTGCAGCTGCAAAGCGCTTTTAAGCTTAGCCTTAACAATAACCATAAAAAGATCAGATCAAGCAAAAGAACAAACGCTGTGAATGAATGAAAGATAAAATGAACTGGACTGCCATACCTCTGCATGGGCCTTTCCACCATTGTATTTCAACATCAAATTCAAAAGCTTTTCTTCAGTTACTTTTAGCTTCACCTTCTGCTTTGGTGTGCGATCCCCACTTACAATTTGAAGTAGGCATGCCTTTATAGTATCAGAAAGCATTTTGATGGTTATAGGATTTGAGGAGATTAAGTTCTTAATTATTATACTTACTGGCGTATAACAGCTATGACACAGCGCAGCTCTTCTGATGGCCTAGATATTCCAACAGTTCCCCTCTCATGACATCTCACAGCATCAGATGGTTGGACTGGCTCACTGATTTTCCATGGAAGACTAGTAGGAATGGTTGATGGAATATGTGGAGCTTTCTCATCAAGAAAGATTTTCCTCAGAATGCATGCAGCATCATCATAGTACCTGGATTAGGAAGCGCTCACCCTCTAAATAAGATATAGCAAGGGCTCTTACCTAGTGTAAAAAGTTAAAATATTTGTTGTGACAGAATGCTTACTTGTATGAACTTTTCACGAAACTCCAGCCATTGACATCACATACATAGGATGTTGCCTCTCCCAAGTCGCACCTTAGAAGATCAAAGCCGCACACCTGCAGAAAGAAATTGGAAAATTCAAGAGGACAACCGTAGGGGCAATATGGTCTATTCACTGCCCTTTCTCTCTCTCCCAGAATGTGGAAAAGAATATTTTGATGGCCGCGGTGTCCAGCGGCAAAGAAACACAATTTCATAATGGCTCTGGGCAAATTTCGGAACTGGCGGTGTACATCAGCAAATTACATGATTGAACGGTGTCCATGAGCAAAATTTGCCATTATTTTATTAGGATTTTAAACAAAATTTCCAGGTCCCCCACCAGTTTCTAGTAAACAACCTGTTCCTAATCTGTTCTCTGTTAACTTAGATATATCATTGATTGCAAATTAAATCTACCAAAGCAACAAAAAGCAATCATGTTGTTTACTTAGTGTAGTTTGGTAGAAAGGGGTTTAATTTACCGCTTGTCTGAAGGCTTGGCAAATGCTCCTTGCGATTTGTTTCTCAGAAGGGGTTAATAGAACAGGATAGCGCACCTTCAAGCAAGACAAATATTATAATGCAACAGTGCTACTTGTGCATATGGGAAACACACACCCTTTTCTACATAAAAAGGGTTTGAGTTTCAGTCAGCATGTTATAAATAGAGGTTTAATGTATAGAATGAGACAGAATCCTGTCCCAACAAGGTAAGGAACAGTACCTCTTTTCCATCAGAATTCCTCATGACAACCCCATCCACAACTGGAGACTTCCGTGCTTCAGCATGTGCATATACAGGCCCAACTGTATAAACCTACAACAAATGTCAAATACCATGCTCAGCACTTCCTTTTGAGGATGACAGTAGGAGAGGACTACTCTAAATAAAGAAAGATATGAAATAATAAGTTAGCAAGGTTTGCCACCTTGACATCTGTCCCTCCTGTAGGCATGAACTCCTCGTAAATGTAAGATCCATCTCGCCTCACCTTCCTCACATATGGATAAAACTCACTAGATCGATTACCAACCTATGTATTCATAGGAAGAATTTTGTCAGGTCTGTGTATTTTGGAGGAATTTTGAAATACACATTTATGATAAGATGAATAACAGACATGAGAAACCCGAAAGAAAACCGTTGGGGCGTAACCCTCTTAGCGACGCGCCATATCGGAACCCGGGTATGGTGTTAAATGGGCAAGGGCTGGGTCGGCACCCCCTTGGTGACGCGCCATGTCGCGATATGGGCATGGTGTCAAGTGAGCAAGGATCGGGTCGTCGCCCGGGTGTAGTGAAAAATGAGCAAGGGTCTTCACATCTGAGTCGACGGGTGCGAAGGGTAAGGAAGCTAGTCGAACCAACTAGGATCCGTTTAGGTAGTTGGAATGTAGGATCGCTTACAGGTAAGTTAAGAGAATTAGTTGATACCGCGACTAGGAGGCGTGTAAATATATTATGCGTTCAAGAGACTAAATGGAAGGGTCAGAAGTCGAAGGAGGTGGACAATACATGTTTCAAGCTTTGATACACAGGGACAGTCGCGAATATAAATGGAGTGGAAGTTTTGATTGATAAGAGCCTCAAGAATGGTGTGGTGGGAGTGAGAAGGCAAGGAGATAGGATTATCTTAGTCAAGCTTGTCGTTGGTGATATGGTCTTGAACGTAATTAGTGCGTATGCCCCCCAAGTAGGCCTCGATGAGAGTGCTAAGAGACAGTTCTGGAAAGAGTTAGATGGCTGATTAGAGCTGTACCTAGTAGTGAGAAGCTTTTTATAGGAGGAGATCTTAATAGGCATGTAGTTACTACAAGCGCAGGTTTCGAGGCAGTTCATAGAGGTTTTGGGTATGATAGTAGGAATCAGGAGGGGGAGGAAGTTCTGGACTTCGCGGTAGCTTTTGACCTGATGATAGCCAACACTTTCTTTAGAAAGAGAGAATCTCATCTAGTGACCTTCAGTAGCGGACAACACTCTAGCCAGATTGACTTTGTCCTCGCAAGAAGAAAGGACAAACGAGTATGCTTGGGTTGCAAGGTGATACCAGGGGAGTGTGTTGTTTCTCAACATAAGCTTTTGGTGGCAGACCTTCGTTTTCAGGTGCGTGCCTATAGGGATAAACAAGCTAAGATTGAAAGAACAAAGTGGTGGAAACTGAAAGGGGAGACGTCAGAGGTATTCAGGGAAAGGGTTATCAAAGATGGCTCTTAGAAGGAAGAAGAGGACATAAACAACATGTGGAAGAAGATGGCAACCAACATTCGGAAGGTAGCCTCAGAGGTGTGTGGAGTAACCAAAGGAAATGGAGACGAGGCTAAAGATACTTGGTGGTGGAATGAGAAAGTCCAAGGGGCTATTAAGGAGAAGAAAGAATGTTATAGACGCTTGTACCATGACAGTAGTGTGGACAACATAGAGAAGTATAAGGTGGCAAAGAAGACTGCAAAGCGAGCTGTAAGTGTGGTAAAGGGTAGAACGTACAAGGATCTTTACCAACATTTGAGTACGAAGGAAGGAGAGAAGAACATTTATAGGCTAGGGTTCGTGAGAGAAAGACAAGGGACTTCAACCAAGTTAAGTGCATTAAGGATGAAAGGGAGCATCTCTTGGTGAAGGAGGATGAGATCCGACATCGATGGCAAGAGTATTTTGACAAATTGTTCAATGGTGAGAATACGAACATAATCTTTCAGTTGGATGACTCTTTTGATGACACCAATAGGCGCTTTGTGTGAAGAATCCAAGAATCTGAGATCAGAGAGGCGTTGAAAAGGATGAAAGAAGGTAAGGCGATGGGACCGGATGGTATCCCAATCGAGGTGTGGAGATGACTCGGGGACATAGCTATAGTATGGCTAACCAAGCTGTTCAACCATATTTTTCGATCGAACAAGATGCCTGACGAGTGGAGGAGAAGTATATTGGTACCGATCTATAAGAATAAATGGGACATTCAAAGTTGTACTAATTACCGGGGAATTAAATTGATGAGCCATACTATGAAGCTATGGAAGAGAGTTATCGAGCATCGCTTGAGAGCAATAACGCAGATCTCTATGAACCAATTTGGTTTCATGCTCGGAAGATCAATCATGGAAGCCATTTTTTTAATAAGACAAGTTATGGAGCGGTATAGGGAGAAGAATGACCTACACATGGTTTTTATTGACTTGGAGAAGGCTTATGATAAAATACCAAGGAATGTTATGTGGTGGGCTTTGGACAAACAAAAAGTCCCAACAAAGTACGTCGGGCTCATTAAGGACATGTACAACAATGTTGTGATTAGTGTTCGAACAAGTGATGGAGACATGATGACTTTCCGATTAGGATAGGACTACATCAAGGGTCAGTTTTGAGCCCTTATCTGTTTGCCTTAGTGATGGATGAGGTCACAAGGGACATACAAGGGGACATCCCTTGGTGTATGCTTTTCGCGGACGATGTAGTGCTAGTTGATGAAAGCCGGACAGGAGTGAATCAGAAACTGGAGTTCTGGCGGGAGACTTTGGAGTCCAAAGGTTTTAAACTCAGTAGAACTAAAACTGAGTATATGAGATGTGACTTCAACACTACTACTCGGGAGGAGGAAGATATTAGTTTGGAAAGTCAAGTAGTGCCTAGGAAGGATACCTTTCGATATTTAGGATCAATGCTACAGAGAGACGGGGATATTGATGACGAAAGTTAGACATAGAATCAAAGCAGGGTGGATGAAGTGGCGCCAAGCATCTGGTGTCCTATGTGACAAAAGGGTACCACAGAAGCTAAAAGACAAGTTTTATAGGACGGCGATTAGACCTGCTATGTTGTATGGTGCAGAATGTTGGCCTACGAAAAGACGACATGTTCAACAACCGAGTGTTGCAGAAATGCGTATGTTGCGTTGGATTTGCGGTCATACAAGAAGGGATCGAGTTCGGAACGATGATATACGTGATAGATTAGGGGTAGCACCAATTGAAGAAAAGCTTGTCCAACACCGGTTGAGATGGTTTGGACATGTCCAACGGAGACCTCCAGAGGCACCGATGCGTAGTGGAATCATAAGTCAAGATAGTAACGTGAAGAGAGGCAGAGGAAGACCGAAGTGGACTTGGGTAGAGGCAATAAAAGGAGACTTGAAAGGATAGAATATACCCAAAGATTTAGCCTTAGATAGGAGTGCTTGGAAAACAGCTATTCACGTGCCTGAACCTTGATTGCTTCTGCTGGGTTTCAACTCTAGCGTACCACAACTTGTTTGGGACTTAAAGGCTTTGTTGTTGTTGTTGTTGTATGAATAACAGACATGAACTTGTTTATATCAAAGAAGTAACCATAGGAACACTTGAACAAAATAACCACATAGTATGTATTGTTGGAGCTTATTCTGTATCATTTATCTAGCAGTTTACTACACTGAAGTACTGAACAAACATCAAAGATGCTAGTTCACTGTAATACTCTTGAACTTAAGTTAGTGACTAGTGAGAAAGCTTGATGGCATCAGCTCGATAACAAAAATGGATAAGAATAAGCAAAATGTCAGAACATAAAGCAGATTGCCTGATAGTCTATTTTAGCTTATATTGTCTATAACTTCTTTAACAGAAGAAAATTATGATGAGTGAAAATGTTAACAGAAATATTGAATACCATAACAGGTGGCCACATTCAATCATAGCTATGGTATCAACTTGAACTTGAAGGTAATAAATCCTCACCTTACGAAACAGTTCTTTCATTCCTCCACCAGCTAAGCTAGGATAGTATATCATTATGTTATGGTCATCACCTTCATACAACAACAATTGTAAGCAGCAGAAACATGTTTATTCTGTTATTTTACAAAGATACAATACGACATAGGTGTTGGATATTACTTGACTAATTTTGCATGCATCAATACTCATTAGCTTGCATACAGAAAAATACAAATAAAGAATCAATACAGAATAATTGTGGAGTTAATGAGGTAAGTTTTCACAGTAAAGAAAAGTAAGAGTTGAAGACAAACAATGAACATAAATACACTTCAGAAAAAAAAAACTGTCTGCAATATTTGATACGTGACAACAAGAAAGAGTTTTAGACTCGAGCAAGTTGGGATAGGCTAGAGATGAAGGCCAACAATAGCCACAAAAACAAAGAAAAAAAATGTAAAAAAGAGGTAGGGGCGGGGGGTTAAAACAACTGTCTATCATAATTTGTATTAAACCCAAAGTTTGCGCATAATGTCTGGACTCTGGAAGAAAAGTGTCAAGGCTTCAGCCTCCTGGTGAGGTCGCAGGCCCCAACAGCCTAGGTCTGGGGGTATTTGGTCGAGGTCGTGTTTGTGTCTGTGGCGCGTATATAGGCCTCTTTTTGTAGAAGTGTGGGGGTGTGTTCTTGGCTGGGGTTTTAGTCCTTAACCGGACTTTTGTACTATCTTTTCTCTCTTAATGAAATGACACGCAGCTCTCGTGCGTTGTTCGAGAAAAAAACATTTGTTTTAGGGGGGAAAAAAACAGCCCCTACTGTGGTATCTAGTTACATATATCATGTAGAAGAAAGGAAAACCAGGTTGTACAAGGCCCAAGAGAGGCATGTGTCTTTATAAAGTGAAAAAAAGGAAGGAAAAGAGTCTTCAGCATGCTTCAGGAGTCAAAACATGTCTTGAAAATACCTGATAATCTTTTGTTAGATCCATAGCACTGCAAGGTCCAGGTGCCATGCGGTGCCATGTTAATGAGAAACCTTACAGAATTTTAATAAACTATTACTGGACAAAAAGCCTTAGACCAATAGACCTGTGTTGGGCCCTGGTGCATTATCACATGTTTAGCTGTGTACTGTTCATATACAGAAAATTATTGAGTGGTTGGTGAGTTAGAGTGTTATATGGATGGATTTATTTCCCTTTCTCAAGTAGTAAGCTCAAATATAGCATCCTGCCATGAAGTCAAGCTTAGTCTTCTCAGCTAGAGTACCACTTTTTCCATCCCTTTGGGCATAAATGTATTGGGCCAAACAAAAATGACAGTTGACATTATTAGACCCAACACAGAGAAGAGTCAACAAGAAATAGAGCAAGAGAAGGACATTATAAAACTTATCAAATTATGAGCTGTTACCATCAATGGGTTTCTCCACGAAAGGCTTGCAAAACCGCTTCCCATGGATCTCAATAAAATCATCTTCCTCAACAAAGTAGCTTAATTCTTGATTAGGGTACTCTCTTCTGACAACAGCATAGGTTGGAACAGGAACCCCATACAACTTAAGTTGCTAAATGGCAAAAAGAGAAATAGAAAAGAAAAATCAACATTTTGGAACAAGATAATGTATGTTTGGACTATATTACAAGACAATAGAACCTTTCCAAACTAGAGTTCATCAGACTTTTCTGTTGGTTTCAGAAGAAAACCTTTCTGTAAGTACAATTGGATTATAAATCATCTATTCCCATGAAACCTACCTAGAATATCTGCTAGCGAGTAACAGTTATTTTATCATAAGGCCAAATGAAGTACACACAATGGTCATGGGTGGGGGGGGGGATGAGGAAGTGAGCCTAGCCTCAACTGGGTGAGAGGGAGGTGTGGTCATGGGCCCAACCACGTAGATTCAAGTCCTCTTCATCTTGAATTGGGTGCCTATTTTCTTCTTATTGAAAAAACGGCTACTTCCTCTTACGTTGGTCCTACTTTTTTTGGGGAGAGAAAGAGATTCAGAAAAAGGGTAAATTCAGAGTGTTAAGGTTAAACAGGAGACGTCCACGCATAATATTACTGCTGTCTTTTTGGTTTATATTCTCTTATTTTAAAAACTAAGAACGAAAATTTGTTTGTTCCCTATTTAGTTTATATTAGCACCCCCTCAAAAAAAATAGAGAAAGGGAAGTAATCCAGCTTAAAAGCATCTAATAGAGACAACAGAAACTCATTTGACGACCAAGGAATTAGTAATGTTAATACCTGATATACTTTGCTGCGGTCATGAAGGAGGTATTGTGGGGCCAACTCGTTCACCAAAAAGGGCCTAAAGAATAATATCTAAGTTACTTCATGGAACCTTAAAACTCCTCAGGGTAACATGAGCCCCCTTGCTTGCAATCAAATGTATTTGTCACTTGCATTTTTGTCCAAGCAAGAAGCAAAAGGAATATATTAAGAAAATATAGCTTCTGAAGTTCTGTTTCATTTCTTCAGCCATGGGAAAGGGCATAGAGGAACTCATGTCTAGGAAAATAAATGTCATGATGATAGGATTCCAAAAATATTATTACTAGGAGAGTTGGTTTAGACTGAACTGTTAATCAAGGGTGCATTCGAGGTAACTGTAACAGATTAAGAGAAAACTGATTGATGTAGATCTTGCAGACTAAAAGAAAGTGTATTTGGAATAAGACTAAGACTAGTAAATCCATAATTCCATATGTAAGCCACACATGGATCAAATATCTAATACTCCCAATATCTAGTACTCCCTCCGTTCCAAATTGTAGGTCATTTTTGCTTTTTTAGATAAATATTTTTTACTATGTATCTCAACATAGCGTATATCTAGAAAAGCCAAAACGGCTTACAATTTAGAATGGAGGCAGTACATATTTAAATCCAACACTTTACAAGTGCTTTGCTTGAATCTGGGGAGGTATTTAACCTTCGTAAAGCTGCATATTTCTCTGCCTTTTCTAGTGGATACCCGGACGAGTAAAAGGCGATTAGACAATCACATATAGGCCAACTGCCAAAAAAAAACAGTAACAGTTAGTATAATGAATTAGTACCAACTTGAACTTAGGATGGTGTCACCAAATAAAATGTTGACCTACAACTCAACACAAACATAATTAACAGATATATGATGACTAAAGGACATCACATAATTAATGTGAGATAAGATTTATCCAGAAACACAGAATAAATCCTCACTGGAAAGCCGAGACTTCTGCAAAGTTCATTCATGGGTGATGGGGTTATACACCTAAGTAAAAAAAAACCAAGTATTTTGAACAGTGGGACAGATAGTATCAATTACTTGCTTAATGATTAGATGGTCATGCTAGAGTGGTACCATTAGTTAATGGTATTTATCCTAACCTCATACTTCAAGTAAATTTTTGTCTGCACAATTCACTACTTAATTTTCACCAATGCACGGAAAATTTACAACCAGACTTCTTAAAAGATTTACTCTTCACACTTATCTAACATACCTTTCAATGGGATCTTCAAGAATCACTTTGTCACCAAAAATGATAATCTGCACCCACAAAGCACAAACATATTATTTTAACCTCTTGATATTCAGTATAATACAAATAGTTATTGAAGTTGCTTGCAAAATAGTTTCAGGATTCAGACATTTGAACACCAACAGGGCCAGAAGAATAAAGGGAACTAGACCTGGCATATGTACCTTCAGCAGTATAAAGTTAAAGTATAAACTGAACTGTCCAGCTTCTTCAGGGAAAAAAGGGGTAACGAATACAGAGATTATGAATTGGATGGGATTTATATTGTATTAACACAAGGAAACCAAGGACCATGCCATGGTAGGCTGGTAGCATATTCATGATGTCACAAAATGGCAGAGTTTAAGTTTCACAGGATCGAACAATGTAACTTCCAGAAATCGACCTTCTATATAGCATGTAAAGGAAAGTGGAAGCAAAATCGCAGATTGTATAATTACGGCTTCTTATTTCATATCATTTGGTAAACTGTATCTGCCTTTGTTTATTTAAAAAAAAACACAAACAAGTAATCAGTAAGAAAAGGAACGGACGCAAAGGATAATCCGCCGGGTTAACACATTTCTGAGCCATACCTCGAACTCGCCGAACGCGCGCAGCCTCTCAAGAATCTGTTCCATGGGAGAACACGACACCTACAAAGTTTCCACAGGGAAAATCAATCAAATCAGCATGAAGAAACGCAAGCATCAAATCATTAGTTTCGCCAGAGTCCAACCGCTGACCTTTTTCTCCATGACGCAGACACCAATCTTGATCTTGTCGCCGTCGCCCCAGCCATCATTGCGCCTCGCCATCCCCTCACCGTCACCCCCTTTGCTTTCCGCGGAAAGAACAGACTATTATGGCTCGAAAGGGAATGTTTGTTTCTTGGACATTTATTACACTACTCAGGACTGGAACCTCATCAGACGTCTTGAACCTTTGTGAGGGAGGGGGAGAGCGAACTGCCGAGCAGCCGAAGCCCGAAGCCCGAAGGGGTGCGTAATAAGGAGATTGCTCTCGCCATTTCTTTCCAGTTCTATATTGAAAAACAGAGAAAAAAAACTTTAGGTCTGTTTGACAGTGTACTGTATACATATGGAGCATCGAAGTACACATTAAAGTGTTCTTGGCTAGATAATTCACAAAAAAAAAGTGTTCTTGGCTAGATTCTTCAAAATTGTGAGGTCGAGAATAGCCTAATAGTATATTTGAATTCATTGATAATTTTTCACTATTGTCTTGTCCTTTTGACCTTTCTAACTACAGCTGTAGAAAAGATTATCATTCAGCCTAGATTTTGTTAGTGAGATATTCTGTCTCTTTTTACTTGCGAATTTGTCTGTCACATTGTAAGGTGGCAAATGCTTGCTCTGTAGTGTAATCAATCTTTCCCACACATTTCTTCCTTTTTTCTTAAAAAAAGAGCATCTTGCTCTGTAATGTAATCAATCATTGCACTGCCATAACCATTCGCCCATCAATGTAGCGCATACTCTGTAGAAAAAAAAATTCAAACTTCGCAAGTTTTGACCAGTAATTGATTAAATTGTACACATGTTTAGCGTACAAAAATTGCATAAAAAATGTGTATTCAATGACTGTAGATGGTATTAAGTTTTCAGCCATTGATAATGCATAGTAATAGTAACAGAAATAAGAGTCAAAATCTACTCTAGAAGACTTTTATGTTACTAAATATATTTTATATTGATGGAGGGAGAGAGTATTGTCATAAAAAAAGGAATAGTACAGAGATTGTTTGAGGTAGATTTGTACACGCTAAAAACTAAGGTTTTAAAAAAAATATATATATGACATCCAAAATTTGAAAATTTTACATTTTCTTTATTAGAGAGAGTACAAGATAATTAGTGAAAGTTGTGCTGTATGGGTTGCACACATTATAGAGGACCATGAGATGCTTATTAGGATGAGAGGAAAATCCAAGTACGGCCGATGAAAACATCCCCACGTGACCGTTGCACACATTATAGAGGACCATGAGTCAAGGACATTGTGCAGGACATTTTCTAGTCACGAGCTCGTCTTCTGTAATTGCTATTACAAATTTGTGTATGAGAAATTCTTTTTATTTTTTTTGGAGCCTCAGCGATGGAGTATTTCCTTTGCACTACAGTTCTACTTGGAGTTTCAGTAAGATTAATTAGTGCTTACTAAACTAAGGCTGGAGTGGAGGGGCAAACGGGAATAATTGCGAGGTAGGAGCACCAAATCTTAGATGAAGTCTCAGCCATTCACATCCCATGGTAAGCAGGGTACCCATCAAATGTCACTAGGTTCAAAAGCCGCAACATAAAAGGATGGAGAATAATAATAAAGGAGAGGTAAGAAACTAAGAAAGGCAGAAATTTCCTCTGATCTCAACCCGGCACCATGCTACAGAGGCTAAAAGAGAACCAAAAATACTGATTTTTTTTATCGGTTCCTGGTTTATTTGGTGAAGTGAGAGAAAAAAGATTTTTTTTATGAACAGTACAAGAGTTCGAGGAGACAGCCATTGAAAGCCATTTTCAAATGGCGCTGACTCTCCGTTCCAAATTATAAATTGTTTTAACTTTTTATGGTATATCCATTTTGCTATGCATCTAGTCTAGATATAATATATGTCTATGATACATAGCAAATTCTATGTACCAAAAAAGTCAAGGGACTTATAATTTGGAGTAGAGGGAGTAGAAATTTCATGAAAATCATATATGAATTTTATAGGAATTAGTTCATTTTCATAGAAACAATATAGAAAACGATAAAAAAAATCCCGCATTCCTCTAAACCTGATAAGAAGAGATCCCAGGTCTGAATATTTTAAGAACATTCAGCTATACACCAGAATATCCGGGCAAATGCTGCCGTGAAAAGACCAGCCAAAATCAGGCGAAATTGCCCCACGGTTTCATTGGCCCGCCCGTCCCAATCATCGACGTCGAGATCGCCGGAGGAACATCCAACCGGAATATCCCAAGGCAGCAGGCGCCAGGCGCCCCATTTGGGTGGCGTCTGCATTCATATTTTCTGACCAAATCGTACTGATGCTTACCAGTTACCGCCACGAGATCAAGGACTTGTTGTATCCTTTCCTTCAACGTTAAAACTCCCTGACACACTCTTTGTTTCCTCTCGATTAGACTATTATTACCAACTACAGCCTGCGTGAGCTAAGACATGGCTAGAATATGCATGTTTTAGTTGAAATGAGCCATTTGGTTCCACAAGAGTCGTGTATCTTCCTGTATAGCCAGCCGATTAGCGTCTACCAGAGTTGTGTATGGCCGGATTCTTCTGAAGAAAGGTGCTGTTGCTGCCACCAGCCGTGTTGTCTTCACTCGCAAGGCCAGCGCTCATCAGCTTGACCTTTTTGAAGGTGGCATCCAGGAATATCGTTTTGTCTACAAACGAGAACCAGATGCGTCACTACTGTGTTATTTATTTTGTAGGCAACCCCAGAATATGGTTCTGTGCAATGATGAATAGCCACCGAACGATATTGTACTCTTATTTTTCTCCCAGGCTCTCTCAGCTCCACCTCTAATGGCAGAGTCAAATGTGTAGCTCAAAAGGCGCCAAAAATATTTACACAAACAATTCAACCATTATCTTCATGGCATCACAACAAAGTGCTGTCTGCTGCTTATTCTTCGCTGCTGTGTGGCAAGAAGAATTTGGTACGTACATTACAAAATAGCCAGCCACTAGGGCGATTTCACCGCAATGGTAAATCTACTCCCACAGTGGACGGCAAGTGAACCAGACATGCGCTGCCCATTGTTTTTTTTTCTCGAAAAAACGCAGGAGATCTGCGTCCTCATTGTATTAAGAAGAAAAGAGGGTACAAGAACCCAGACTTACAAACACCCCAAACACAACACACACACAACACAAGCTACACCAGCCAAGGCACAAACGCAGCTCGGCTGGTTGAAGTTGACCCGCAGAGATGCCAGGAACTAATCACCTGGGGGATGGGCGGTCAAGAGGGAGAGCCCTCGAGCCCCTGCACTGGTCCACAACCGACGTTCTTCACTGGCCATTACAACAGCCCCAACCACACTTGGAGCTGCTCCATCAAAGACACAGCAATTGCGATGTTTCCAAAGAGTCCAGGCCCCCAAAATAATTAGGGAATTAACTCCTTGCCTCACCATATCAGAAGTAGCATTATTAGCTCTCTCCCACCAGTCCATGAAAGAATTATCAGTAGGTTGGGGAGACAAAGCCTGGAGACCGACCTGCCGAAGCAAAATGAACCAAAATTCCCTGGCGAATACACATTCCACAAGGAGATGGCTGATTGATTCCTCTTCTTGATCACACAGCGGACAATAATCTGGGTGAGGCATTCCACGTCGTGCAAGGCGGTCAGATGTCCAACACTTGTTGTGGGCCACTATCCACTTGTTGTTGCGCTGCCCATTGTCACCTGTATCTACTCTCTGAGGAGCCACATGATCCGAAGTGTCGCCCAAACCAAGTTGTCCATGCTCTCCCCAGCCCCAGGTGAAGACTGTTCCTTTATCTGACAACAAAATATAAGAAAGATCGGATTAGTCGGTTTCATTGTGAATTTCTTTCTTTATTTTATTATGTGCATCTTCAAGCCTTTGGAAGAAACTTTTACCTGTTACCAAAGCAGAATGCTCAGTTCCACTTGCTATTTGCACCACCTGTTCTCCATCAATAAATGGAACCGTCTCCAGCATTGACAAAGAAGATGAACTATCACGAGAACTGCTTGTTGCCCTTGTGTTCGATTGCTGCCCCGATACATTTCCTAACCCAGGGGGATCACATTTCTGGTGGCGGTAAACACCAAGTGTGTACAATTCTCCAGCTGTGATACAAGGTGGCAATAAATGTGAGAGCTTATTATCCAGAAAGTATAGTTCGAATGAAACACACGCACCAGATAAAACTAATGCATGGTGCCATCCTAGTGCCACTTGAGAAACACTTGAAGAGGGTAAAATTCTCCGTGGTTGGTCATCATCATCTTCTCCAATTAATGCTCTTCCCCAGAAGTACAGATGACCAGATTCTGTCACATCAAATGGAAGGGGGATTATGGTCCAAGACTGAAGAGAAGATGAGAGTCAACAACTACAGAACTACAAAGCTTACCGTCCAATGCAGCACTGTGATCACCATTGGCATATATATTTACTATCTTACAATTTGGAAAACCATCAATCAGTCTAGGAACATTATATGTTTTTTGGTTCCTAGAAACACATTTACCAACTTGTCCTCGTCTTGCGGAGCCAAATCCATACACTGAATTGTCTGAGAAGAGAAGTACAGTGTCATCTGTTGGTAAAGCATATGGATTTTGTTATGTACTCCGTATTTCAATGTACCAAGCAGGAGAGATGGTTCAGTACTTCAGTTCTTAGTTTCTCATAGGCCGAATAGAGTAAGATCCTGGAAATGCTAACACATCATCTTTTAGATCGGGGGCACCTACAGCATCTCCTGCATTTACATCACTACTCACTAGCGCAGAAACCAAAAAGGTGAAGCTCCGATCCTACAGTTGTGAACAACAAACGCCTACAGCATCTCCCAAATGTGCATCACCAGTGCAGAAAGGTGAATCATTGATCCTACAGTTGTGATGATCTAACAACTCTAACATCTCCTCCATATGCATCGTTTCCTGTGCTGCATGAAAAGAACAACTAACAGCACTGATTCATGCCACCACTTTATGTGGCCTTTGGCAGGCATAGCATTAGCTCACTTCCACCTTGATGAACTCATTGAGATCTTTTATTCGCAAGGAGGGACGACAGACATAGAAGGTAGTGTACCTCCCAATGGACGCCAAAGAGCTTCCACTTCCTCCGATCTAATGTAACGTGAAAGATAATACCAATGTGGGGTTGGGAATAATTTCTCTCAACTCTCAAGAACAATAGAACTCTAGATTATGCATTGTGATTGAAACAGTGTAGATCTAGGGTATTATCATGGATTTGAGGAAATGCTGAATGAGTGTTTCTAGAAGGTAAGAAAGTACATTGCTGGGGTCTGTGAACATGCAGTTTCTTAAAAAGAACTACGTAGTTGATTTTCACCATAACAACTGGGCCCATGGTTTTACTTACCTTTCAGTAGTACAAGAGAATGGCGCATACCAAAAGCAAGCTTCTCAATATGCCTTGCATTAAAGTATGCCACTTCAAAAGGAAAGTTCCTTGAGAGGTTATCACCAGTGCCAAGTTGTCCAAATGAGCCATCTCCACACATGAAGAGTTGCCCAGAATCTGAAAATAAGAACTAGAAACATCACAGTAAAGCTCATCAGCAATTGTTAATTTTTCAAATAAACAGTGGTAATACCAAAGAAATATTGAACTCTTCATTAAAAAAACAAACACATGAACATATAATACATAAATTTCATATAGAACATTTTAAACACAAAAAAGATTCTATATAAAAACGAACACAGTAAGAAATGAGTAGTTTTAGAATCTGGAGACCTGCAGCGAATCCAGAATGGTTCCATCCAGCAGACACACAGGTTATAGTATGATTTTCAAGGAACTTAACCAACTTCGGATGAGGGATGTTGTCCAAGTTCCCATGACCAAGTTGGCCATGTGTACCTCTGCCCCAAGTAAATACTTCACCATCACCTGAAATGTTGAGTATACTGCAAGCTTATTTCCATAAAAATAGTAAAATTGTAAGGTGCATCAAGAACTAACACATGGTAGCTAATTTTCTTGAGACTGATCAGCCATATACATTTGGCTTCCAAGTAAACAGTCAACCTTGAACAAACAGCATCACTTGATAATTAAACTGTTTTACTGAAGTTGCTATGGTTTATGCTCTTTCCTATGGGTTTCATCTCTAGCCTAGCCCAACTTACTTGGGACTAGTAAAAGATTACATTGTTGTTGTTGTTGTTGAAGTTGCCACAGATAGAAACATGGTGAAGTGTTTAATCAATGGTTTCCTCTCCTCTGAATGCTTAATGAATGATTAATCCACAAAATGCAGTGGGTGAAAATAAGTGGTAGCTTCATTACAGTAGTAAGGTATGGAGATGCATTCACAATCTTTTCTTAAATTACAGATTCAGATTCCATAAAAAGCGACTTTGATAGTGTCAAAGTGTCAGTCGTGATGTGTCTACCAAGTACCTGCCACCAAGCTAACATTTACTTCTAGAAGCATACCATGTTGGGTTAATGTTGTCTAGATATACATTGGATAGCTGAGCATGGTAGGAGGCCAATCTGCCCCAACTTTTGGTTGCCAAACTTGTCATTGACAAACCAAAATTTCAACTTCTAGCAACGCGAGAGCCATAATCATAACTAATATTATCACACTACTATTTCTACAACAGTGGTCAAAACATCAAACATGGAGAAACCGCGGCGACATTTCACTTGATCAGCCCCTATCTTATTAGAGCCTCCTAAGGTGGCAGCTCAAAATAGGTGACCAGGCTTACTTGTGAGGGCAATAGCGTGGGCGCCGCCACCAGCGACGAAAGAGACACGGCCGCGGCATCGAGTGGGGAGAAGCAGCGGCTGTGGTCGTCGAATCCGCCGTTCCCCAGCTGCCCGTCCGTGCCCGCACCCCAGCTCCACGCCCAGCCCGCCGCCGCCTCCTCCTCCTCCGGCTCCCGCCGCCACCGCCTCTCTTCCGGCGCAGCCGCAGCCATCGCCTCTTTCATGCCTGTTTCCGTTCGGCTAGGGCATACACAGTCGACTTCGAGCCGACCCTAGCGAAAAAGCTTAAAGTACAGCCTCAAGCCATAAAAAATTGTTCCGCGTGCGCGCGGGTGGCGGAGGAATCAGCGGGGCGAGCGCAGCACAGCGACAGCAGCCGCCGCTGCCGTCGCAACACACAGCGCGGCGAGCTTGGCGTGGCCTCCCACGACGAGCTCTAGGAAGGGGCGGCACGGAGGCTTCGCGCGGGCGGATGACCGCGGCGGCTTCGAGTGGCTCTTGCGCGGCGGACGTGACAGGGACAGGGACGGAGGCGGCGATGTAGATGGGAGCGGAGGCAGAAGAGGAAAAAAAAATTATTTGATTGGTGTCATTATAATTTTCGATGTTGGAAAAAACGTCATTACTATTTGTCTATTTTGAAGCATGCCATTACAATTCTGCGTTTCCCACAAAAATGCCACTGAATACGTATGGACACAGCCTGAGTCCAGCCGCAGGCGTATACGATGACGTATACTTCATCTCCCTGTCAGTGACACGCGGGCCCCACGTGTCATCTTCTTCTTCCTCTCCTCATCTCTCTCCGGCTCTCTCTCTCCATCCCGACGCGGCCACGGCGGGCGCTGCCGGCGGCGGCGGCTGCGGGCGAGCCGCTGTCGTGACCCCGCGCGCCGCGGGCGAGCAGCCGGCGACGAGAGCGCCACAGTCGAGCAGCAGGACGCGACCGGTGCCGAGCTCACCGCCCCGACGGCGCGGAGCTCGCGACCTGACCGATGTGCTGCTGCTCGCCCGCTTGCTCGCCCGCGGCGTGCTGCTGGCCTTCCCCGGCGGCCGGCGCCTCCTCCTCCATGGTCGGCGTCCGGCGGACCTCCTCCTCCATGGATACGGCGCCGGTTGGGCTTCACGAGTACCTCCAGGGTTGGCGCCCGGTGTAACACCCCGGTGTTACGATCTCGTTTAACACCACGTTTTAGGCCTAAGAAAATTTTCGAAAATAAGTTTCTTGGATTTTTTATTATAAACGTACTTGCCGTGATAAGGGAATCGTGCGTGACTTAGTTTGTGGACTCGAATCAACGCCCAAGTAAATTACTCAGTGCGTAAAGATATTTAGAAACGTCGAACGACGATGCTAGCGAACGGGTTGTTATGTTAGATTAAGCAGGAAAAGCAACTTTTATAAATAAAATAAAATCTATTAATATATTGAACGATATATATATATATATAATATACGCCCGGGTTATTTTGAAAAGCACGAAATGGCGAGAGAGAGCGAAGCAACTTCGTTTATTTTTCTTGGCGTACAACTTACTCGTGCATGGAAATTATTATCGTCATGTCTCTCATCGTGGCTCTGCATTGCTCTGCACCACGGCGTGTTCGTTTGCCTGCGCCCCTGTCTTTCTCTCACTTGCTTGCGTCGTGTCCGATATTTTTATGTAGCGCCCGTCGCACCGATTATGCAAGCAGAAGGTCTTTTTCCTTTCCTTGCTTCCTCGCGCGCCTGTTTTCCAGTCTCTTGTCTTTTTCTGTTTCACTTCCAGTTCCGTCGCGTCAGCTCTGCGGCATCATGAATGCATCTGCTGCCTTGTTGGTCTCTGCGGCCACCGTCTTGTTCGTGCCCACCGACACGCGCTGCCGGCCATGCCACGCCGGCCTGTCCTGCCTTCGCGTAGCGTGTACGACGTTTCTCGCGCTGTTTCCTCCTTTCTCTGCTGGCCGTGTCGAGACTCACGACGCATCGCGCGAACGCCACGCCACCAGCTACGGCCTTGCCTCGTCCTTTCTTGTCTCCATCCGTCCTCGGGCGTGCGTTGTACGTTTCCTCCTCCCTTTCTTTTTCTGCAGCCGAGGAGACGTCTCAGTTTCCAGTATGCCGTAGCCACCCTCCCTCCTCGCTTTTCTCTCGCGCGGCTCGCGCGCGCTCCATCACCGTGCCGCTCCTCCCTTCCCCGCTCTGGTCCGCAGCATCACGCAGCTGTACTGCAACTCGCCATGGCCGCGCCCCTTGTTCTGCACGCCGCTGAACCGAGCTGCAGCTACCGAAGCATCCGCGCCCACCGTTGCCCTATCTCCACCGCGCGCGCTGCCCATCCGAGACGGCCGCCTGGTGCACGGAGCCGCCCTGGCGGCGTCGTAGCTCCACGTCGCACCACGCGCGAGCGCACGTGACCCGGCCGAGCCGCAACCGCCCGCGCTCCGGTCCCGCTGCTCCTCGGTCCGCTGCCGCCCGAGCACGCACCGCCCTCCTTACCTCGCTCCTCGTCAGTGCTGGGTATCTGACCGGACCGCGCCACCACCGCATCCCCGTAGCTCCACCTCACCGTGCAGCCCATTGCGTTGCCGGAGCCGTGCCGCTCGCCTGGCCGGCGCCGTCGCAGTCGGCAGGCCGCCGCCTCGGCTCACGCGGGCGAGCTACCGGGGCCCGGTTCAGCTTTTGCTGCGGCCAGCACGAGGCCGCGCGGGTTCCCATGCAGCTCGCCGGCGGGCTCTCCGCAGCCGCTGTGTCTTCCCCGGCTCCTCAGCACCGTTGCCGCCGCCGTCGGTCGTTGTCTTCGGTTGCGCTCTGCTTCTGAGGAAGGGAAAAGGTGAGGAAGGGTATAAATCCAAGCAAAAACGTTATACGGAGTCTTTACTGCAAAAATACATGACTCATTGAACAGTACTCTGGACCTAGGATTGATTAGGGAAAGTGCAAGGGGCCGTTTCGCAATATTGCCGTCGCCGCTGCCGTCTGGGCCGCTGTCGCGTCGTCTGCCCGCCTAGGCCGTCCGCGCGCGTTGGGCCGGCTTGCCGCCCGCGCTTGCTGCCGCCGCGCCTTGGGCCGAGCATGTGCGGATTTCCGAGTTGGGCCGAATAGATAGCCGCCGGCCCTTTTCATTCTATAGACATTTTCTAATTAAGTTTCAGAAAATAAACTTGTAAAATCAATATAGAATGGTATAGGAGTTCAAAAATTATGAAATCAGTTCTGTTAGTCTCCTAAAATCATGCTCTACCTGTTAGTATATTTTGTTCACATAATTTGATAATATTTTTGGGAGCTATATAATTAATCTAAGATACTTAATATTGTTAAAAGGTGAACTTGTAGGAATTTTCGGGATAAATCGGTAATAGTGTTGACTTTAAAAATTTGACAGTAAACTAATAATATTATTATCTACTCATTGTAATTTTTGTAGCTCGATTTCGAATAACGATTAAATCGATAGAATGAAATAAATAAACAACTTAGGTTTGTATAACTAAAATAATTGTTGGAAAATAACGTCTTATTCGATAACATGGATATGTAGCATAAGTACGGCCGTCGTTAGAACTAGCCCGTTAACTCGAGTGGCGTACGTCGTATTTTACGAGTCACGATTGCAGTCGATTAATTATGTCTTTGTATTGCATCGCAGTGCATATCATAAAATAATTGTTGGAAAATAACGTCTTATTCGATAACATGGATATGTAGCCTAAGTACGGCCGTCGTTAGAACTAGCCCGTTAACTCGAGTGGCGTACGTCCTATTTTACGAGTCACGATTGTAGTCGATTAATTATGTCTTTGTATTGCATTGCAGTGCATATCATATAGGTACGATGATGGATCAACGAATCAATTGAAGGATGATTGGGAATTCGAAGATGGTGTACCGGTATTCTCTTCAGGAGATGATGCAATGGGCTTGTTATCCAGCTGATGGTGGATGATCTGAAGATACAGATACTAACTTTAAATATATCTTATCCAGGCAAGCCCCGGTGCATAACCCTTACTTTTCTGCGGTTTAAATTATATATTTGTGCATTAAATTTGAAGTAGTTGAATGAAACCCACTTGTATATATATATCCTATGAGTCTTACTAGTATGACAGGATCGTATAGAATGCTATGCTTCAGGACTCCGGTAGAAGTCGAGTGATTGCCTGTCACTCGCGAGAGATAGGAAATATATTATTGGATTATTATCACTTGGAAAATATAAAAATTGTGAAAAGAAAAATGGTGATCGGGCAGGGATATGGTTTGGGTATTGGTGGGTGTAAGAGGTTGTGTCGCCGTGGATACGGAGCATAGCTTGGTTACACTGTTTTCCCCTGTCTGGTCGGTTAAGGACCGGCCGTTGCATAAGACTCTAGGCAAGTCACAGACTTATTATTCCGAGCACATACTTGGGTATAGGTGCTTGAAAGACTTGTTGCTCTCTTGTCGCGGATCCGACTCTTTCCGGACCGACTGTCAGGATTTTATTTTGGTGGAGGCGGTCCTTGCACCACACTGAGTCCGGGACTCAGGGGCGGGGGCTTGGAGTCCCAGTTTGGACGGGGACCTAGACATCCGAGACAGGAGAGTGATGGGTTGATCCTGTTTGTGCCTGGGGTATAAGCGGGGCGTGTGTTTTCGGGGTACCCAGCTGGGGGCAATGATTCACGAATCGCCGGAAAATCCGGTACGGCTTGTCTACGGTTTAGCATCGTAGTAAGAACTGAAGATGAAAGATGGAAGATGAAAAAGGAAATCTAATTGCTTACCACCTACTTAAAAAGTAGCACAGGTGCTTACATAGAATGGTTAGTTAATGAACCAATGCGGCTATTAATAAAAATCGAATATAAGGACTTACGCTTAGTAATGCTTTCTGTAAATGCAATAAACCCACAAGCCAGATAGCCTTGCATATACTTGGAGTCTTTTCTTTCCTCCTATCAGGTAAGTCTTGCTGAGTACAATTGAGTACTCAGGGTTTTATTCCCCCTGTTGTAGGTGACAGGTGGAGGCTTGAGCTGACCTTTGTGTGTGGATTCCTCCTGATGGGCTCAGCGAGGATTCCTTACGCTGCAATCGTAGTTTTTATTTATAACTCTCACTAAATGTTTTTATGAAAGAAAGTATTATAATCTGTTGTCATAGTTTATATATCAATACTTCATCATGTCATTAATAGATGTTTATTTTCGCTGTAACTCTGTTCACATGTTTATATTCCGCTGTTTAATTAAATGATTCGTAACTCTGATAATATGATTACATCCCGCAAATATAATAATAAATGTTATACTCTGATGTTGTATTAAAAGTGATGTAAGAAATGGTTATGAATGATGTAAGCTTTATTCTCTCATTTGTGATCTTGATGGCAAAAATGTGGATTTTCGAGTTCTCCCCTGGGCTGTGCCCGATGGAACCGAGTAAATTAGTGTTCTCCTTTGGGTGCTTAGTGTCTAATGGAAGACGAGCACTCCTAGGAGGTATTAGATTATGCGGTTCTGCCACACCCGACACACCTCCTCCTCCATAAATCTGACGCATGTCGAGCTTCACAAGTGCCTCCATGGCCGGCGTGACCGCGGGCTCCACTGGATCCGGTGCAGGTCGACCGCGGGCTCCCGGTCCCCGGCTCCGGCAGGCGTGGCCCCGTCCCTGCGCGCTGCAACGAACCCGTCCCCGCGAGATCCAGCAAGCGTGACCCCATCCCCATGCCCGCGAGCTCCAGCAGGCGCGGTCCCATCCCCGTCTCCGCGAGCTCCAGCAGGAACGGCCCCTTCCCCGCCCCCAGCCCACGCCTGCTTGCCCACGGCGCTGCTCGGCGTGCTGCTGCTGCTGCTCATGGGCTGCCGGCGTGCTGTTGCTGCTGCTCGCCGTGGCCGTGGCCGCGACGGGATGGAGAGAGAGGAGGAGAGGAGGAAGAAGAAGATGACATGTGGGGCCCGCGTGTCAGTGACAGGGTGATGAAGTATACGTCTTTGTATACGCTTGCAGCTAGGCCCAGACTGTATCCAAACGTATTCAGTGGTATTTTTGTGGAAAATGAAGAATTATAATGACACGCTTCAAAATAGACGAATAGTAATGACGTTTCTCCAAACATCGAAAATTATAATGGCATAAATCCAGATAACCAAAAAAAAAAGATTCTCACTCTACAAAACCTTGGCTTCGCACTCGCACCTCCGTGACATTAGTTGAGTTTAAATCTGACCTACAACAACACACAGATATCAACCGCGTCCTTCTAGAGATCGCCAGACCATCCATGACGTCGTAATCCCTTTATGACTCCACGCGAGAGAGGCTATAGACATTTATTTTAGGGAAAAACTCCAGTAGAAAAATCACGCTTCGAGCAGGACTTGAACGCGCGACCGGTGGCCTCCGCTCCGGGAGCGCACACCAACCGAGCTACGTCTAGGTCCCTTGTCATCTCTGGTGTCGCCCAAATATCATTATCAAACGCGATGATTTTACTTCAGATTTAGACTATGTTTATATATTAGGAGTAGATTACATGAGAACATTTCCAGCAGTTCTAATAATATCCATAACATATATGTATTGAGGTATTCCAATATTATTTTTATGAATATGGGAGAGTTACCACAGCAGTACCCAATATTTTTGCTCCAAAGATGGGTTCCACAGGAGTATAATATAGGAGTAAGAGGATGAAAAGTGATAGTTGGAACGTTGTATTAGGGGTGCAAATCCCATTTATTCAAGTGGAAACGAGACAAATATTGATGACCACAAAAAAAAGTAGAAGAGGTATTGGAGAACTGCTAGAACAAGAAAAAAAAACATAGTTCTCCAATTATGATATTTTTTGAGGTTATTTAAACTTTAGACAACACTTTAGTTTCCATAAAGTCCAAATAGGTCCTTCATTCTTGATATAGATGCTAGGTCCAATAATACTTAACTGACCGTTGTGATTTTTTATCTTTTGATATATTGTTTTATTGTGAGAGTGGAACTAATAATATCAAAAGAACTAAACCTTCGATCAAAAGGGAGATAATACAAGTGATCTAAGGCTCGGTTAGAGGACCGAGTGATAAGGGCCTAACGGCCACGACTTGCCCAGACCGAGTTCAACTGCCTAATCAACACCAGGTCTTAACCCAAGCTACACCATGCATAAGAAGAGGTTACGCCCCATCTACCAAAGATACACAAGACTACAGATCTAGGAAAGCACAGATGTAGCATCGAAGCTCAGAGGTTTGCCGCCGGTCTCCATTGTGTTGTTGGCATCTTCTTCGCCGATGCCTTGTCGCCCACTCTCTTCACCAATTCCGACGCATGTCTATTGCCTCGATCAGGCATGTAGACTTCAGCAGCCCCATAGGACATCGACATCATCTCAAGTAATTACGAGATTAATTGTTTTTTGATACAACGTGATTAATTGTCATGTGTTAGACTAACGAGATCCTAATTAAGCATAAGATCTTGAGCTTGCACACAACCAAACAGCAATAATAAAACAAAAGATGCTGTATGTCCCAGAGTGAGCAGCGAAGCACACGCGGTGCTTTGAGTCCCGTACCATCATGGCTCGTGAGAAACGCACTCAATCTACGTTTCTTGAAGCCTTGCTGAAGGTGCTTTGATGTTCGTGTTGGCCTGGCTGAGAAGATCAGAGCAGACAACCAAACAAGTCATAACGTAGAGATGCTGAATCAAATAGATGCATTGCATGGTTTGCACTTTTAGCAGAGCGGTAGATGTTGCATGGTTGTCCAATATGGATAAATACATGGCAGTATTGGACTATACACACATGAATTTGTCAATTTGTTGCACCAATTTCAATAGATTATAAATTGTTGGACCAATCTGTACCCATATGTATATATAGTTGTTATATAAGGTGAGTGTTATTTACTCTCTTGTCTAAATGTTTTAACATGCCTCGAGCTCCATATGTTTTAAAGTAACAACACACGGCTCCATAAAATCCATGTGTAGCTATGTACGCTAAACAGGACCGAAAAAGGGCCGGCCTTCTAGATGACAATCCAAAGTGTCGTCCCTCCTCTGCTGGCATCCTTGTAACCGCTGCACATAATTCCTGAAACAGGCACCACCAAGGCTGAGAGAGGCAGTATTGGACACTTGCCTGAAGGTGCCAGCCTCTTCTTGCCTGTTAACATCCATAGTAACCGCTGCTATATGTTCTCTTTCTCTCCAAATATTGCCATGGTGTTCTCCGAGTTAACCACGTTTGCTTGCTGCTCACCGAAAAGCAGGACAAATGGGCAGCTAAGCCGCCGAAAGCTCTCGAGAATGGTGATCTGGTATATATGATGGACCTGCCGTGTGTGAAAGAAATAAGAATCCATCCATCTCCAGCTGATCGATGCTCCATTCGGACGACGAGGTCAAACCGGTGACGGCAACGCTCGTGTTCGCGGGATCACGCGATGGTGCAGATTCTGCGCGCTGGTCCCACCCATCACCGGCGCCCAGGCTATTCTCGTCTCGTTCGGTAACCGCCCGGCCTGGTCCGGCGAATGGTGGTACCGCATATCTTCCCTCAAGAAGACACAAAGAGGATCGAGAAGCGTTCACACAACCACACTTGTGCTGCAAACTAGTATGTGAGTGATAACTGCAACAGACGACACAAAGAGAACTTGAATGTTAAAGACAAGAATCTCTATCTACGAAGAAAAGAAAAGGTTGTAGCAGAAAAAGGCGCAAAACGGGCTAAAGGAGATTTCAGACAAAAGGGCAACGGATTAAAAGCTCTGACGAAGCTTTATTCTTAACCCTTGCGTGTGTTGTTCGGCGGTCGATCTGCTGACACCGGCGCACGCACGGAGAATGCTTTGGACTCTTCAAGTGCCTCTGAGGCTTTGAGATGCAATTCGCAGCATATAGTACCAGATGCTCCCAATGCAAGAAATTGTGCACTTCATTGTTGCGGTATTTATATTCCCGGACCCCTGCTCTTCTCTTCCACCGGTACATCACACAGCCATCGTCGGAAGCTCTCAACTCTGAGCAGGAGGCCGTCGCTCGTCAGCATGAGCGACCGCAGGTACGGATACTCGTACCCACCGCCCCAGGGTAAGTGTCGTAGGGATGAAGAAGACAACGGATTAGACTAGTATACTACCCATTTACATGCACATGTATCTTGTTGTTGTTGGACTTATTAATTGCTTCGCTATGCTCCTGCTCCTCGGAACGCAGGAGGGTACTACAACAATGGACCGCCGGTGATGGCGCCGCCGCAGTACCAGTACGCAGCTCCGCCGCCGAGGAGGGAGCCGAGCTTCCTTGAAGGATGGTAAGCAGCCATGCATGCATGGACACGATCTACTTGCTGGCCTAGTTAGCTACTACCCCTATGCCCGTTAGACAAGCTCCTCATCAGCTCGACGATAGTACTAGGAAATTTTAGAACTAGTGAAGGGAAAGGGTATTTTTTTTTTCGTAAAAACGAAACCATCATCAGTAATATAACGAGCTGAAGAAAAATAAATCTGAATAATTCTGTACTAAGATTGCTTTCATTAATTTTTCTCTTGGACACATGCAGTCTCGCTGCTCTGTGCTGCTGCTGCCTCATAGACGAGTGCTGCTGCGACCCGTCGGTCATATTTGTGAGCTGATCCGATCCGACCACAACATGCCGCCGTCATCGTCCCAGTCCAGAGATTATATTGCATATATATCATATATGTATATATGTACATGTACGTGTGTTCGCACTTTCGCACTTCGCATTCGCACCTTTGTGGTGATGATGTTTTCAGCCTATATATAGTTCAAGCAGCGAGTTGTCCGTTTAGTTCAGGTCTCGATCGAGGTCAGGGAGATGGACACACATGCATGGTCCGATCCAGAACTAGAAACGAAGGGGCAGCTTTGCCGCGCCATCTAGAAGTTGGAATATATACCACTATTTGGCATTTGCACATTTATGTACCTGGCATAGGTATATCACTAAAGATGTTGCAATGTATACCACTATTTGGTATTTGCACATTTATGCACCTGGCGTGGGTATATCACTAATGATCAGTAATCTAAACGTATAATAGTTTCGTATTTCTATATGAAAACGATTTTGTAGGAAACTGAGAGACTTGGAGCTCCAAGACATGAATAGAAAGATGCTCGTACAGTGCAGCTGTGTTTGAGGGTTCAGAGATGAACACACAACATGTTACAGAAAATTCAGCAACCGACGTCCTAGTCACTGCCATGTATCAATACAATCTCTCTTTAGTGGAAATGATTTCAGTACCATGTTATGCATCTGAAGCTATCATGCTCATCGTAAATAGTATCAATATTGAAGCATAGGTAGTATCCAGACTCAGGGGCAAAACACTAATTTTGTGTAATACAAAGGAATGTCTAAATTTGATATGCAGAAGGCAAGTTCTTCTTTGTAATATTTACGGTTGTCCAAAATATCATTCATATCAGAGTTTTGACTTTCAGCTTCTTAATAAACTTATAAAATGATGTAGCAATGCCCAATTCCAATGTAAACTAAGCAAGTATATAACTTAACAAAGGAAGGTTAAACATATTTTTTGTATTATTGTTATTCCACTATTGGAATTGGAATTGAAAAAAAATCTGAGATGACCAAGTGAATTTGAGCTACATATAAGGTTATAGAGGACAAAGACAATACTGTGTAATTCATCTATCAATATTTTTTATCTAAAAGCCGAGGAGCATTGTAGCATGTACGTACGAGAGAATTTTTTTATATAATCAACACAAACATTTAGGTTTCTTCTATTAGTGTTGCTCAACTTTATTAAAATAAAAATAAGCCAACTGAAATCTATAGAAAAAAAAACACAAGAAGCGCTTCTTCTTGAAGTGAATTAATTTCAGGGTCAGAAATATGTTCCCTTCATTGTCTTACAGGACCATCAACCTATACAATTGCAAGGCTGGACCCGTGGAACTCCTGGTGTGGTTAGAAAAGCTTTATTGCTTGTAGAGCAGCATATCTCGCAAGAGCTTTGCAAGGAGACCTAGCTACGATGGTCATGCTGCAAGGGGGAGCCTCGGACATGCCGCCCACGAGCTGCGCACATGGCCTTGGCACGCCAGAGGAGTTGTTAAGTACTGCCTTAGAATATAGGTGAAATGAGTTGTAACCTGCATTGTAAGCATAGTATAAAGTTATAATTATAAACTAAAACCATGGCAAATCCAAGAAACAGAGCAACCTAAATTATTGGCTCAGTTGCTTATGCTTTACTTTGGTAAATGTAACGCTTTGGGCTAATATCTTTGACAAAGGATCGGATCAATAAATTCAAAAATATAATGAGATTTGAAACTACAGAACTGCATCATTAAATAAAATGTAAAAATTTGTACATACGTCCCATGTTGGTTCTAAATCCTTATATTTCTGATAAAACAATGATATATGACTTATCTCACTCCAAGGGAGTTGGAGCATCTGCTGAGATTGGCACCTAAAATGATTGTCATGAGTAGAGAGTTGAGAGCTACATGTTGTGATGAGGTGTTGAATTTCCAGCAGAAAAAACATTTGAGAAACAAATCTGAGCAATAGTACTTAAGGAAGATCCAAAATTTCCCATAAAGGTGCAGGTGTATGTTCACTTTAGGGATAGTTTCTATCATGTGTTTTCATAGCATGACTTGTTGGCAATTTCTTAAAAAAAAGGTGATTTATCAATGATATATAAAAGAAATTAATTTTGTATAAATTATGTGATGGAAAGATGCCTCTCTAATGAAGATAGGATCTGTTCATCTTCTTCTTGTTGCTTCTGATAAAACGATTAGTGAGGATTTTCATCATTAAAAGGCATCAGTAGCCCCGCAAAGCAAACTACCAAGAGCTAAGTCGGAAATTAATCTTATTTCTTAAGTTTAATTTGATACTTGATAAGCCAGTTCACCCTGCTATATCAGATTTATCCACTATCTTATTATTATGAAATCAGGACATCATGGCTGATGGCTGTACGAAAATAAAGATATGGTAGTCCAAAAAAGAATAACAGAATTTCAAATTTTGGAAAGCTAAGATTATGGTACTATCAATTTTTTGGAATAAAATTTAAAGTGCAAGATAACATTTTTACAAATTAGATTAGCCTCATTCTATATTTCAGAATTTTTTAAAAGCAAAGATTATGCTACTATAAATTTTTAAGAATAGGAATTTAAAATGTAAGGTAACATTTTTAGAAATTAGATCAGCCTTTGCACCATATTGTATTGCGATAACATAGTAATTTTGAAGAATGTAAAAGTGACAGAACAGCTGTGTGTCACACTTGTGCGTAGGGGGGTTTAGATTACAGTTTTTCAAATTTTTAGAAATAGAAATTAAATCTTTGGAAAGGAAAATAAGTTTAGAGATCAGTTGAACTTAATACTGGATGTTAAAGTAGTAGAGAACCCATTTCAAATTTGCACAGCATGCGCTTTTGAGAATTTGTCCACTTCTTATTCTTGTTAGAGCTTAGAATATCATAACGCAGGTAAGATTGTAGTTATACATATGAAACCTATCAATTCACTGTCTACTTACACAGTAATAGAGTTCTTGCATGTACACTACACCAAAGTCAACATAACCAAGGAAAGGGAAGGATGCAAGTTATGAACAACATGTTAGCACTTGTAAATGAAGCATAAAAGTCACGTGGAAATCTATAGAATTGAAGGTGGTTTCTTAACAGAAGAATATCAAATTAATCATAAGACATGGAACAGAGAAGTTTGATGAATTATAAATTGCCATATTTTAGAAAATGAACCTCTGAAGCATTCGATCGAGTAGATTGTGTGCATGAATACATATGCAGGCATGTAGCAAAGGTGGTTACCTTGATGTAGTCCCGTGATTTATCTTGTCTGGACTATTTATTGACACCAATTCATCTGCAAGTCTTGACTTTTTATGCGGCCTAGCCATTGATACCGTCAGCATGCAAGAGTGGCCACGACCATGCCATTCCACAAGGCAAGCGAATCTGACGGAGAAAGACAAGCTTGGCTCAAGCTGAGCCTTTGCGGTTGTTGTAGCCGAGTATGGGCTATGGGCCACCACCGCAAGCCTCGGGCCCTCCGCGACGGCGACGCACGAGTGGAGGAAACCCTGCTGGAGGCCGTGGAAGTAGAAGGCGTCGGGCTGTGTGAGGATGAGGCCCTGCCAATCGCGAGGACTGAGGCCCTGACAATGGCGAGGACCGAGGCCGGGCAGCAGCTGAAGCTGAATTTGTTGATGCGCACAACGGCGGCGGCGTGTTGCGCAAACTTGGCGCGGATCTCGACCGTCGATACCGCTCGGGGGCGCTTCGCCGGGGACAAACTGTAGCCGTTGCCATGGCCTCTGTCCCGGTCGTGGCCATTATCGCCAAGGCCGCGTCGTCAGGGGCCAGGTCCGACGCCAATAACCGCCGCGCTACGGTTAGCTGGACTTGGAGAGGAGTGTGCTGGAGATCGAGGGTCGGCTGGGGCCGCTGCTTCTCCCCAAGCGACGCAGAAGGCAAAGCCCGACGGCGGCTTGCGAGGTCGGGGGAAGAGGACCTTGTCCAGGGTTCGTGAATCGTCGCGAGTGTCCGGGCTTGCGGGTTGATGGGCGACAGGCTAGACGAACCCACATCGGACGGTCCATCTTGCACGGATGGCTGATCGAACGGTTAGCGCGTTAGCAGGTTACGTGGCACAATCGGGTGCGCGAGCTTGAACTCGGGATTCGAAAGGTAAAGAAAGATTCCAGATGCTGTTCTTGGATCCGGCGCATGTTTACTGCACTTGTTTGAGCACAACGCAACACGATATATGTGTGTACGAAATCTCTGAATAATGAAGGCAGACACAAAGTGCTTCGGTGCGATGGAGTGTGTGTCTTGCAGCAAGGCTTTTCTGAATTTGCCCGTTCGTCCTCTGTTTTATTATAGATTTGGGCCCAGTTCTATTCTAGTCTGACCCAATCGGCATTTATGGCTTGGGCCTCCAGTACTCTTGTCTTCTATCTTGGAAAAAGTCCACGTTACCTTCCTCAATTTTTATGAAAGTCTATTTTTTTCTCTGAACTTTAAAACCGGATAAACCACTTCTCTGAACTTTTAAAATCGTTCGTTTTACCTTCCTGACTAGTTATAAACGGTTTTCAAAGACGATTTTGTCCTTTTTATTTTTATTTATTTCGGTTGAATCTTTGAAAAATCATAGTAAATCACAGAAAATTCATAAAATGAAAAATCCAATTTTGTTGGACTTCACATGAGTAGATCTACACAGTGAATATATAATATGGTATGTTTTAGTACAATTTTTTTTGTTGCTTTAGATCTATGTTTTTCTGTAATTTTCTATGGACCAATTGTGGTGAAATTTTTATGGTAGCCTAATTATTGTATGCTTGAACTATAGTAAAAATTTCATACTCATTGAATCATGTATAACTTAGTTATAAATTTATAAATATTTTTTAACAAGCATACACCTAAATAATACTTTTTAACAAGCATACACCTAAATAAATCTAGATTTTTATCCCTGTTAAATTTTTCTCTCTTAATTCTTATCCTACTGAATAAATAAAGTCAGTGCTTCCCTAAAAAACAATTCTCTAAAAAATACAATTCCCCTATATATCTCAATCCGTAAAAGTTTAACATGTCACGTAAGCAATCTAGGTCCATGTTCTTTATCAATCTTGTTTTTTTCTAAGAGCATCGATCGCCCCCACCGTTAACACATCACACATCGCCCGCCCCTCTCCAAACATCTAGACGAGACGCGTAGGAAGGAGCAACCGACCGATAGGAAGCTGTGTGGGACAAACAAGCAGCTTCAGGCGGAACCGCGGAAGGCGTGGGATGGGCAGGCCATGCTTGGTGATTGGCATGTGAGGGATGTGCGGTGACAACGTTTAGGTGCGTGAGGGACATGGGTATGTGTCTATACTAGTATCCTTAGTTTTGGCGATTAAAACGGCAACACAAGTTTATAACTAACATATTTGATAAAGATGTATTAGACATATCATAATAGATCCTAGCAATGCAAGAAAAAAGTGGCATGAAAACCGTACTGGCAAAGAAACAAAGCAAAAATGACTAAAGCCCCCTTTTGGCACGGCTCATCCAAAACGGCTTCACCGGTAAAGCCAAAGCCGATGAAGCCAGAAAAACTGGCTTTTTCCGGCTTCTAGTTCATTTTAACCCCGGCTTACAAAACAGCTTCACGCTACAGTGCCTCGATTTGCGCAAAATAAATGAAGCCAAAGCCGACATAAACCGTGCCAAAGAGGCCCTAAGTGTGAGTATACACGCACCAGATGGGCCGACGGCAAAGGGAACAAAAGCACCAAACCGTCCGGGCTACGAGTTGTATTACAAAATCCAACGTTATAACCGAGCGCTTATCTCGGTGAAGCTTCAACATATAATGTGGGTTGTGAGTTGTCAACTGATATCATGGGATATATCATCTCGTCTCCTTGATTTTTTTCCTGTCTTATTTGAGCTCTTTACTTATCACGTTTATTGTTTCTATATGTGCTTACTTGTTGACCTTTACCTTTTTATATTAGCTATGGCTAGTTGCATTGATTGTACTGGCAAAACTCTTTTGAGTTGAGGGTAAGTTAGAGTAGATTAGAAAAACTTAAGCACATATCTTGCTAGAGTAGTTTACGATTTTTCTAGTGGTAATTTAAATTGAGCCATGTGGTTTAAGATTAAAATTAGACATCCAATTTAACTCCCTCTTGGATGCTCACGGAACCTTACATATGTCTGGGTTAAAACCGCGTGAAAACAGTGGTACACCAGTTATCCAAAATTTAAGGATTTAATTTAGGATGCCACTAAATATCGAAGTTGACCTAGGAGAATTGTCAGAGGATTTTTTTAACTCCATAGACCTTGATTTTGAATATATAAGAGATTGGTCTTAGATACCTCTTAGGACCAACGTGGTTTAAAATGTAAACTTAGGGTCATATGTTGTTAAGCTTTGGCACGGTTTGTATACTCTGTAATAATGTAATCTCTCGGCTGGGGTATCTTATCTATATCTATATCTTTATATTTATACCTCTCTTATAATTCTAAACTCTACAAGAATTCTATCTCGACATGTGAAAGGACCGAAGATGCCGCCTAAAAAGGGTGAATAGGCGTTTCTAAAAATTTAACCCTTCAAAATGCGGAAACGATTAGTGTTGAGGTTTTTAAGAGATTGGAAACTCTTAATCAGAGAAATAAACCCCTCACGAGCTAACCAACAGAGTAAACAAGGTATATAGGAAATATCTAAGAGCTGCAACCCTGCACCACAAAGTTAGAGCGATGAATAAATAAAAACAGCACAGGGGTGAAATACCGAACACGTCCGGTATTCATGGGCTAGGCACTTTAGCCCCCGAAATGCTCCTTTTGATTCCTCCTTGCTTCCAACCTTCAGGCACTATCTAGGAACCCGTATACAAGCTCAAGCAACACACAAGGATCACAAATACCAAATGAAAAGGAAGATTGAGACACGGTATTTGTTTTACCAAAGTTCGGACTCCGTCGAGTCCTACTCTCCGTTGAGGTGGCGGCGACCCCACAAAGGTCAGCTCTAGAGAACTACGAAGGCCATTTTAGCCGGAGTCTTTTCTAACTCCTTTTTTCTACTTCCACTAGCTTGATTCCTTCCCTTGCGGCGGTGGAATCGGACCGTCACAAACTTCCCGAGGCACACCACAAGCTCTTGGGTGCTCTCCGGCGACGCCTAGCCGTCTAGGACTAAAGAGTCCAAGAGTAACAAATGCAAATCATGAGATAACAAATATGCACAAGTGCTCAAGGGTGGCTTGATCTCAATTTGAATCTCACTCAACCCACAAGATGAATTTTACAAGTTTGAATCAATCACTCACTAAGAGAGGGTTGAAGAGTGTTCTCAAGGTTCAAAAACATGTATGAGAGTTAGTAGGATCAGCAGCCTCCAAGGGTGGAGGCTTTGGGGTATTTATAGACCCCACTCAAAAACTAGCCATTTTCTAGCCGTTGGAATACGCCTGCACACCGCAAATGGTCACTAAGTCAGTGGCGAGTGTGAGGCGTCGGAACTCCCGACGATTGTCGGAACTCCCGACTCTTGTCGGAACTCCTGACGAACAATCTCGAGAACACTGAAGAAGTTGATGCGGCCAGTTCAATACCGGACACGTTCGGTATCAATACCGGACGCGTCCGGTGTCTAAACCTGCAGCACACTGAGTTAGCACTTGGCTCTCTTTTTCATTCAATTCTCACATGGGTTGGCTTGGGCACTTATGAATAAATATCTATCAACATGATGCATCCCTCTTAATAGTACGGCATACCTATAAACTCAAGACCAACTGAAAACGGAGTTTGAAACGCTTGAGTTGATTTCCTTCAAACCAAATGCCATAGCTTCTCAATCTTTATCAAGTGAGGATGTCATCACGTCAACTTTGATTTTTTTCTTGAGCATAGCCATCTTGAGCATGTGACTTGATTCCATTCAACAAATGTGAGCTAACTCAAAATGTATAAGTCACTTCCATAATTCATCCAATATTTTTGATCCTCTATTTCAATGTGACTATCATAATTTGATTGGTACCTCAACTAAATGCAAGTACTTCCTTCTTCATCCTAACTAGGTTCCTCGGTCGCCAAGCCATCGCTTGCCCTTCACTCTTGCTTAGTACCTCGAAGCCTTTTCTTGCTATCTTCACCATCTCAAGCCATCAAGTCACACTTGGTGTTGAATCATTCATTAAGATCATTTGTATAATTGTCTTTCAATATAGCAAGCTCTAAAAAGTGAGACCATTCCATATGCAATCCCTCATGTCTCATTAATTATTTTTCAACGTGCTTGCTTTCATATGAGTCATCGAAATCCCACAATGAATAAGCCTTGCATGAGCTACATTTGCATTGTTGTCTTGTGTTTGAATAAGATTATTTATACAACAACACATTATTTTGACTTTCATCAAATACATGTGAGATAACCTATTATCTGTCCAACACTTAGCAAACGGGTTAGACCTTTAATCATATTTTCATTCAATCATCCAAAACCCACTAAAGGACTTTCAAAAGCAAGTATGTGCTAAGGATAATAAGTCTGTGACCTGACTATCATCCACAGCAACGGACGGTCCTCAATCGACATAGGCGGAACAAGTGTAATCCGAGCCTCGCTCGAATGCCTACCTAAGTTCAGATCCAAAGTACCATTCCGCTCGGTCTCCAATTATTATTCATATATATTCCATATGACAGCAACAATAATATCATTGCTATCTCTCGCGAGTGACAGGTAATCACTCAACTT